GTGCCATATTTAGGCTTTTTTCGGGGGGAAAGTCGACTTTCGCCAAAATCGAATTTCTCCGCCGGGTGAACGCTGATTCCGTATTTTCTGGTCCCCCTTATGCCATTGCGCCCCTCACTTGCACGGGAAATGCAGAAATAAAAAAAAAATTTTTTTCACCCGAAGCCAATGTGCCATATTTAGGCTTTTTTCAGTCAGCAAAATCACTGCCAACAAATTATGGAACCACATCCTTTGTGGATAACCCATCAACGTTGATACTTACCAATAAAAAAACATGAAATTTCAATATTTCGTTGATCTATATTATTTTTAAAAGAGCCAGAGCATTGGCGGAAAACTGTGTAAGCATTACTCACCTACCATCGATCATTGCTTCAGCAAGTACAAGCATCCCCTTAATTCCGGAAATATATTAAAGTTATTACTCACCTGAAACACACAAATGTTTACGAAAACTCATGAATATTGATGGTTTGCCACGGGGAATTGAAAAATTCATAATTTCCGTTTTGCATTTGTCGATAAGCCGTCATAAATACGTTAAAATTCAAAGATGACCCTAATAGGGATCTGGCATGAATTTCAGTTTTCCCTAATCTCCCTATTTGCCTATTCTACGTAGTCCATAAAGAGCTGATTAAAAAGAATTCTGGAAAAATAGTGTCTAGGTATTTTATAGTGGTTTTAAATTCAAAATATTTTATCGACCGATATATTCAATTCTGACTTTATTAATTAAATGTCGCAGGTCGAATTTCAATCTCGATCTTAAACTGTTAGAAAGTTTTTTTTAATATGAAAAAAAAATTTGAAAGTTGACTTCTGGAGGAAAATTGGTGAAATAACTTAAAAATTGCAGTTTTTGAAAATTAATCGATTTTCCAGTATAAAAATCATTTGTTTGGAGTCGTATAAAATTTATTCATTTTTAGAATTTTATCAGAGATCGATTTCATGTCTAAACAACAAGGTTTCCGAAAAATTCAGCAATTTCAATTATTTACTTATAAACAACGAATGTTTAAAAAAATAATAATTCTGTGGAAAATGTAATTTTAATGTCGTTTGATTTTTTTGGTGAGAAGAAAAGAAAAATAGAATGAAAAAACTTGGAAAATTTGAATCTAATTTCTAAATTCTATAGAAAATACATGAAAAGAATAAGTTATATAGAAAAATTGAATTCTGTTGACTTTTTCTACTGAATGTTTTCTATTGACCATGTCAATAGAATCAGCCAAAAACTAATAGAAAGTTTACTTGAAATTCAATAGAATTTTCCAACGAATCCGATGGGTTTTTCTATTAAATTTTTTCGTGCGTGATATGTCCAAATATTCAACAATAACGCAATTGACCGAATGTGGGGCACAACAAATTAAAAAAATCATGCAAGTTCCCTGTTCAACACCAGCGGAAAGTAGATTTCATTGAAAATTAGGGAGAGGCAGGCACAACGATTTTATTCGAGTAAAAAATGAAGATTTTCGTTTGGTCAAGGGGGTGGCACGCAAGGCGACTGCAGGCTGACACCTTTTGATATATGAGAGGGGGAGTTCGCTATTATGTGGGTCATTTCTAATAATTTTTTTCTCCAAAGACTTTCAGATATTTTTCCTTCGACACCCATTTCGTCATTCTATTTTTACTCGTGATTATTCCTCTCTCAATATTTTCCCGTTGAAGTTTCATTTTCGTGGGATTTACAAGGACGCGCCACCGGTTAGATCTCCGGCTGTGCCAATTTTTTTTTCCTATGACAACAGTAGTTGTTTATGTATTCCACATATTTTCCCTGATATCGACAGCGCAGTTTTTAGATATTTCGTCTACTGTTCATAATGCAGTAGCGAAGAGGTAAAACGGTTCAAATCATTTTCGACTATTGTCAGTTTTTAATGAATATCTCGAAATCTAAGGCAGATATCAAAAATTTTGTCATGACCTTTCTTGTAGCCCTCAATTCGCTCTACAAAAAACGTTATGACAAAAATTTTGCTATCTCCCTTAGATTCCGAGATATGTACTGAAACCTGACCAATAGTGGAAATCGATATCAGCTGAGTTTTTGAGGAATATCTCCCAATCCAAGGCCGATAGCAAAATTTTCATCATGACCTTTTTTATAGCCCTCAATTCGCTCTACATAAAAGGTAATCATGTAAATTTCGCTATCTCCCTTAGATTCAAAGATATTCCTCGTTAACCGTTAAGTCGACTCAAATCGTTTTACTTCGCATCCCCTGGCAGTACGAAACTTACGATTTTTTCGCTTGACGTCCAAGAATTTATGACTTCAGCCCGACGTTGGCTTTTGATGAGTCTACTGAGTTTTCTAATTCTCCGTGCACACGAGAGCAGTTCAGGTGTTTCCGTTTCTACACAACTCTTGTCCGCACTATCGTCATCACCTCTTTCCGTCGGTGAGCATTTCTGTTGCGACGTCACCGTGCTCAGCGGAATGAATTTAGCAATCAAACTCTCACTCTCAACACTCCAATTTGAATCGCCATACTTTTTCATATTCATTAAATCACCGATGCTCCCCCGCACCTGAGCACTACTCAATTGTAAATTGGCGCGTGATAATGCCGGCGATTGTGGAAGCGATTCGAAACAATTTTTCATCGATCCAGCAGCATCGGGCTGATTTGATTTTCGGTGGAGCTTGTCCAAATCCGATAAAGACGAGCCCCGTCGCATTTTACTCCTCATTCGCGCTTCCTTTCCATCCAAGACGTCCTCCCTTCCTCGATTGATTGTCCGCGATGATATCGAGGTCTTCACGGCGAATAAACCCGCCTTTAACGGGAAAAGAAGTGCCCATTCGGTCGGTTTTTCACGAATATCCATTGTGATTGATTTTCTCTGTCTTTTCCTATCAGTCTTGGTCTATCGGAGCATTTCACCCGGCGGATTCTTCACTCGGAAAATTTTATCACGAACATCACTGCACGTTATTTTTTCCTCCCAACGTACTGTTAATCATTATAAAGACGTTGTTGTACTGCACGACGCAACAAACTGGAGAACGTTTATCGTTGGTAACCGGCATCCGGCCTACTTCTTATCGCAGTACAATGGTTTGATAGTAAAAACAACCTGGCACTACCGCCTGTTGATACACGAACAGTGTCCACGAGTTAAATAGGTGTTAATCAACCACTAATGGCAATTAAAAATATCGGAAAGCACGCAAATCGTGGGGGAGAGATTCGCAGGCTCATCGAGCTGGTTTACTGACTGAATTCGAAGTGATGAGAGTACGCGAGCTTTCGCCGGCTGAAGCTTGCAAGACCGCTTGCCGGTTTTTCCACTTAACTCAGCACTAAGAGCCCTGTAGCAAGCCCTGGGGGGTCAGTTGGCTTAAGGCCTGTGGGAATATTCTTTTTCAACGAAAATGGGATGATGATTCTCTGCGGTTTCGGGACAACACGAAAAAAATTCAATCCTCGGAGAATTCAGTGGCCAAGTGGTAAATCGGTTTAAGTCGACTCATCTCCCAGTTGAGTTTTTGAGGAATATTTCCGAATCTAACGGAGATAGCGAAATTTTCGTAATCACATTTGTTGTAGCTCTCAATCGGCTCTACAAAAAAGGTTATAACAAAAATTTTGCCATCTCTCTTAGATTCCGAGATATTTATCGAAAACTGGGCAATAGTCAAAATTGATTTATGTCGTTTAACCACTTCGCTACTGAATTAAATTCCTCGTTTGTAGAAAGATGAATTGAAGAAAAAAGACGAATTAATTGTTCATTTGTTCGATTAATACGATGTGCGCACGGTTAATCGTGAAATCTAACTGAGAATGTGGTGTTGTACATGAGCGATTCGAACTAAAAAGCGACAGATAAATTTGAATAACGGATGTGGAAATAGACCTTGAGGGGAACGTGATAATCTCACAGACCTCTTGGCATAGGGGCTTCCGATGGTCGGGCTCTCACGGTTATGTTGACGCGTCTTTGGCCTACATTAGTCCATGGGAGACGTTTACTTTTTCATCAAAAAAATTCTGCTGGCAATGAAAAATCAGGGGCGAAACCACTCACGTCGACTTGGCTTCCAGCTGAATATTCGAGGGATATCTCCGAATTTAAGGGAGATAGCCGAGTTTTCGTAATGACCTTTTTTATGGAGCGAATTGAGAGCTATAAAAAAGATTATGAGAAGAATTTCGCTATCTGCCTTTGATTCTGAGATATTCATTGAAGACTGATCAATAGTTTACATCGACTTTCATCGCTTCGCTGGGGACATTGAGGGAGGAATTTTATCAAACAGCTTCACAGGCGATAGAACAGTATTCTCCGGTCTCTTTGAATATACGCAAGGCTTGAAATCTCCTAAGCTTCAAGGAATATCGCCCACATGGCAAAATATATAGAAAATATGTAGAATGGAGGCCAATTTGATGTATTCTTCGAATATATGTATATAAGATTTATATAAAATATATATGAGACATATATGAATTTATATTTGACATTATAATAAATAATAATCAGAAATAAATAAAGAAAAGAAATAAATTGCCCTGATGACTGAATTTACCACTTGAAACATTGACAGAAAGAGAACAATTGAGTAGTTTACTTTATTATTGAGTTAAAATTGCTGTGAGCCACGAAATGCCCTGGAGAAGTGAACGTTTACTATTTTTATGGTACTTACAGTCAGCTGCATGATGATTTTATTGTAGGCCCAGTGCCATCGCTGCTTGGCAGTCATTTCAGGTCGTTCCTTCAGTTGAGTTGGAACAGGCGCTGCACCGACGAGTTCCATCAGTTCCTCGTCCGGCGGAGGTTCTGGGGGACTTCTAGGTGGTGTATCCATCTGTACACTTTCCTCCAGGGATGGTTGCTTTATGATGCTCCCTGAAAATTCAACAGTTATCATCGGGATTATTAAATGAGAAATTATTTCCATTCATTCGACGAGAAACTAAATTATTGATAATCACCTCTCGGGCTGGCCGATCGTGACAGGGGCGGGGTACTCTTGTAAGGTTCGACCAAGGAATTTTCCCTTGATCCTTGAGCAAGTGCCTCTTCACCTCGTTCATACCTGTTATCAATTTTTGTTATCAGTAATTAAGTCGATTTCGACTATCGGCCATTTGTCAATGAATATCTCGAATCCTGAGGGAGATGGCAAAATTTTTGTCATGACCTTTTTTGTAGCCCTCACTTCGCTCTACAAAAAAGATTCTGATGAAAATTTCGCTATCTCCCTCAGGTTCGGAGATATTCCTCGAAAACTCACGTCAGGGCTAAATCAGTTTAATTTTATCATTTTGGTATTGAATTCATACACTGTTAGAAATTTTTCGAAATTTCATGGAAAATATGGTAGGTATTCTCATGAGAGTGACATTGAATCCGATTTAAGGGAAAGATGGGTATGAAATTCCAAGTTTTGGGTAGAATTCATAGAAATTCATGAGTTTTAATGAGTTACATCAAAATTTCCCCAAATTTTCCTAATTTTCCCGAATTTTCACGGAATAATTGAACTGAAAAATCATGTATTTTAGTATTTTATCTTCAACAGAAATTGAACACGATAAAAATTTCCAAAATTCGGCACAAAAAATTCAGACCTAAACGTTTAAAAGTGTATTTCAGTGTAATTAAAAAAAATTGATAGAGAAAAAAAACAAACCTCTCCAACGTTTCATCTCGCATTTTGTATTCTCCGTTGATGGCACTGCTCAGGACAATCTCGGTCTCATCAATCGAGTCCTGATCTTTAAAGTAGCCCCGCTGATAACTCTCCGCTCTGGATATGGCCTGGGGTTTAGTTATACTTTTCCCGTACAACGAGCCACCTCTACTCGAGTCCTGCTGCTGATAAGAATTTTTCCTACTCAATTCTGACTTAGAATCAGCCTCAAACGAGCCTCTCCTACTTTCATCATAAGTCTCGTCGTAGTAATCAGACGCATAAGAATCGCCTCTCGTCAATTTTGGTTTCTGCGAGTAATTGGAGTGCTGACTCTGCTGTGATAATTGAGAATCTTTTCTCTGTAGTCCAATAGGGAAGACCTCCATGTACTCATCATCCTCTGTACCCTGATAATTATCATCGAGATATGACTCTGTTCTCGCCAGTGATTTTTTTCCATTAGTCGTAATGTTTGAATGTATCATCGCAGTAGTTGTGACATTAACTGCGACATCAGGGGCAGTGATATGATTAGCCATTGTTACAGCTGGTGATTGCGCAGATGTTGGAGTTTCAACGAGCATAGGGGCAACTGGACTTGACTCACCAGCTGTTGAGTATTCACTGAGACCCTTTCTCGGCTGACTACTAGTTACCGAACTCACTGCTGTCTCAAATGAATCCTTCAGCTCGTCATCTCTAGACTCCAACGAATCGGTATTCTGCTGGAGTAGTGGACTAACATCACGGTTACCCAATTTTTTCTTCCTCGATGTAGTCAGCGGTGCACCATCGCGATCCTCTTCACTCGGATAAAAATACTCGGACTCACTGTTGGACTGATACCCATTGGTTCTAGTTTGTCCTCGTGGAGTTGTTACCGATAATTCAGGCACTTCATTTGTTTGTCTTTCATTAATGATATTTTCGTAATTATTTTTGAATGACTCCTGATATGACGAATGATAAGATTCCTCATAATTCGTATAATTTTCATCATTGTAACCGTTTTTGTATTCCATTGAGACATTCTCTTGGTCATACGACACTGGATAGTGTATCGAATTGTTTTGCTGATTGTTGAATGACTCTTGATGGTAATCAGCTTGAGTTGTGCTCGGCACAACCTGGGCACGATTATCGCTGTATTCACTGTACGACTGCTGGCATGTGCTCGATGGAATATTGTAAGTGTTGTCGTAATTATCCTGTATGTATCGTTGATCGTTAACAGACGTGACAATTTCCGTATCGTAAGCACTAGTGCATATTGGTGCTGGGTAATCGTGTGATTCAAGATTATTGTCCTGTTCATACGAATCGTGATAGTTATCGTTATCCTTATATGAGTCTGTGTATGATTCTGGAAAAGAATCCTGCTGGTACGATGCAAGCGATGAATTCTGCTGGCAAGAGTCGCCGAATGAGTTCTCCTTGGGGAATGATGAGTCCGCGTGAGAATCATGATGAATATCGTGCTTGGACGGCTCTTCATACGATTCAATCATACTTTTTTTATCGTACTGAGGTGCATGATAGTTCTCCTCAATCTCCATTTTTTCACTACTGTTACCGTACTGATGAACTATCGATTCACTAGTCCTTGGATATGTGCTTTCTTGATAAGTATCATAATGCATTGATTTGTTAGTGAGTGGTGCTGATGCTGCAGATGTGTAAATATCCTGGTAATCATTCGTGTATGAATTATCTATGTAGGGGGTGTCACTGTAGACCTCTTGTGAATCCATAAACTCCTGTGAATATTGATGAGTCGTGTCTGTCATGTAATCTGGCACAAACTGATTGTCGTGCACGGCCACTTGTTCACGAGGAATTGAGGACTCGGGATTTTTATGAATATCTTCCAAGTAATTGTCCTGCAGGTGCTCCTGGCTACTTTGATACGCATAATTGAAGTCTTCATTGTAATTTTGGGTGTAATAGTCCTCGACTGATGAGGCGTAGGTGCGGGGTAACTGGCGACCTGGGGTCGCTGGCAATGACAGGGGCTTCCTTCCCACCGTTGAATTGCTGGATTTTGAGGGGGTTGGGGGGAGTTTCTTTCCAGTGCCGGTTCCGTCTTGGGGGAAGGCTGAACGAGCCTGGGGGTGGTAGCTCCTGCGCCAATGGGAATTTTGGATACTAAAACAGAATTGAGGGGCGAGGCGTCAATCATTAGATTAATAATATTAAGAGAAGTTGTGTCTTAAGATAATTAAGGTTTACCTGTCTTCATTGACATTTGGAAAATAATTAAATAATTGATAATACAGAATTCGAGTGGAAAAAACTTGGAAAATTTATGCCCAAGCATTCTTATAGAAAAAATTTCAGGGGAAAATTCCAAACAGAAATTCGAATTCTATTGACTTTTCCTTATCGAATATCCAGTAGAATCAGTGCAACCAACAAATAGAATTTTTCAATAGAATTTTCTAGCGAATTCGCTAGGTTTTCTATTGAATTTTTTCATGCGTGGTTAATTTTTTTAAATCAATTCTAATTATTTTCCGGCCTATCCTGGAACAACAACCAAACAAGGTCTTCCCAAAAATTTCGTTATCTCATTTACATTCGAACCCTTTGAACCCTTCTATCGCTTCACTACTGAAATGATTGTCAAAATAGAATACCTTTCATCAGCTTCATCAGATCCATAGCTCTGTTGCCGCGTTACTGTCGGACGATAATTCGGTCTTTGGATGCCAATGGATGATGCCGGTCTCTGGGGTAATGTCTTTCGATTTCTATTGTTTTGCTTGTGTACGTTGGCTCTCGCATAGGATCTTCCTCCGCTGTCCCACTGTCTGTCCTCATCGTCTTGATCGTACCTGATAAATCATTGATGCATTGATAGATTATTTGAAAAAATGAGTCAACAAAATTTCATTTTTTCATTAATATGTTATTTTTTAGGCCATACCTTTCGGCTTCGTAGGCATAACTGGTTATATTATTGTAATAATCATCCGATTTGTTATTCGCCTTGTATTCCGGATATGTGGCGCTCATTTCTGATGCACTCAGATCGTTCATATACGTGTCCGTTCCGTAATACATCTCATCGTAGAGAGTTGTTTGACGCTCCAGCGATGGCCTCCTGTGTGGAACTACCCGACACAACGTATTTCAATTTTATTTACTCTATTTTATGGATTTTAATGTTATTTATCTAATTTATTCATTTATTTTAGCTGACAACGTAGGGGAGGGTTGGGCAAAATGGAATAGGACGCGTAAAACGGGATAATCCAATTTTATTGATTATCCCATTTATTGATCTCTGATGGAATTACTGAAACGTGGGAAAATAATTTATTAAAAACGGATAATAAGTGTACAAAACTCAGTGACCAAGTGCAGCATTTCCAATCGTTTTCGAGATATGAAATAAATATGAAATCGCAGTATAGAACCTGTTCTAGGAAATTCATGAGAATTTATGGAACAGAAACCGTGTAAAATGGTCGTATCTCCACTAATCTTCCAGATATTGATAAAAAAACTGTTGAAAACAAAAGTGGTAAAATAACAATTTTCAGTATTTTTCGAATTTTCAACAATCCCATTTTGCCCCGTGAACCAAATTACGATAATCGAGTGAAAAATGATCCCAAATTATAATATTCGCCTTGAATATTATACTTTAGTTATTCAATAAACCAAAATCAAATTTTACGAACCTTTTCTTTTGTAACTTGTGTTGATACTCGGATAAAACTCGTTATCACTGCATATTCGGGTGTCATCGATCCTCGGCCCTTGGTAGTCGTAGCCCTCACTATACCAGCCATCTTGACTGCAAAGACATTCATCATTAGTAGGGGAAGAGGAAATTATTCTGAGGCTAAACGATAAAATGGTTCAAGTCGAGTTAACTCTCAGCTCTGTTTTCGAGGAGTATCTCCGAATCTAAGGGAGATAACGAAATTTTCGTCATGACCTTTTTTGTAGCCCTCAATTAGCCCTACAAAAAAGGTCATGAAGAAAATTTTGCTGTCTCCCTTACATTCCAAGATATTCACCGAAAACCGTCCAGTAGTCAAAATCTATTTGAATCATTTTATCGTTTCGCAATTGTGTTGATGCATGGAGATATTTTTCTTAGAAAAATTCATCTGCAATTCGCGCGTTTATGGTGATGGCACATGAATTTCAAGAGATTTTCTCCGTTTGGAAAATGTAACTCGATGTTTTGGTGGCGCTTTGCGATTTTTCAAAATATTTTTTTAAACTACCGCAGAAAACTGGAAAGCTGGATTGCCCTGCCTATACGAGTGTATGTATGATGACTTGGGTTATCGCTAATCCCAGGTTCAAATGGCTGTGTCAATCTGATAACTCATTGAATGGTGCAATGTCAATTCCTTTATGAATATGATTTGGAATGATATGGCGGATGAGTATTAAAATTCAACGACACCATCGTACCTGTCCTCGTAATCCCAAGTGTGTTTTCGCCTTCTGTTTTCCATGTAGAAGATATAAAAAAAAGTGTTGGGTAATTTTTAGGTGGACAAGGCGTTATTTATATTCAAGAGATTGATAAAAATGAAAGAAAAAATAGGGGGAAAGTAGAAGTTAATCATGGTCTGTAAATTTCCAAGGTGAAGTACATAACTGAGAGGATATTGGCCATTACCTATACTCTTTGTAATGTCTTGGTCTGCTGTTATAAAATAATGGCTCGGAAGACTCTCCACTGGCTTGAGGCAACACTCGAGGCAGGGGACCTTGGTCAGGACAAGGCTGCTCATATCTTGGACTGTGTCCTCTACCACCATATCCATAAATTCCACCCATCCGATTCGCAGTTCCCGCCGAAATCTGGAAAGCGTGAGAGGTGAAAATCCATTCAAAAACGTGAGACCTTATTTTCGGATTTTAAAGATATTAAAATAAGATTTTCAAGTCTTAATTTAAAGCCTAAAATTCTTAGTCTCAATTTTAGACTCTGCGATTTCAATTCAAGACTTTTGAAACTCGAAAACTTTTTAAACTGGAAATTTTTCTTCAAGAAAAAATTGACATTAAACAGTCTCAATTTAATATTGTAAGTCTCAAAATAAAACTTGTTTTTTGGATGAATGTGTCAAAGCAAAAAATCAAGAAAAAAAATTAAAAAAGCTTGAATGATACCTGATGATCGTCACGTTCATAGCTATTCTCTCGAGACGTCTCCAGTGATCGTTGGGGTGTTGCAAGTTGATTTGCCGCTGCACGAAATTGGGATGCTGAACTGTTTGCACCTTGACCCCCCACTGGATAATTCAGATCTGATGTATAATCAGAATCCTCGGAGTAGCCAGCTGTACATGAGAAATCGATCAGGCAAATTTTACGTGGAACAATTAGAATGAAAAATTGTAAAGCATATTCAACTCGAATGTTTGAGAGTAAACCTCGTCGAATTATAATTTTCCATCAGGGTTTTTCAACAACTCCAGAAGTATGAACAGCTCTAGTAGAAAGTAACGAAGCGGTAAACCGGTTTTTGAGGCATATCTCCGAATCTAAGGAACATGGCGAATTTTTCATAATGACCTTTTTCGTAGCTCTCGATTCGCTCCGCAAAAAAGTTCATAACAAAAAATTCGCTATCTGTCTTAGATTCCGAGATATTCATTGAAAACTGGCCAACAGTAGAAAAAACTTGAACCGTTTTGCCACTTCGCTACTGAAGTTGTCGGAGCGGCAACTTCGGGGAAGGAAAGTGGAGTTGAGAAAGATTAAAGTGAATTATCCACTGCCCCTCCCTTGGTATGAGAATGATGTGATGCGTGTTTTGTTTTGGCTCTCATTGAATTATGAATAAATCGCCCCCTTGCTTATGTCCTCTGATTAACTGCGCCTGATCCTCGCAATATAATCTCGAACGAAACTTTGACTCTCATTCACAAGAGTAATGACTCACAGTGTCCGAAGTTATAAAGGATCTGCCTCCGCGCTTGCTCGGCACGTGCCTCTTGATCCATCGAGGAGTTCAGCATTTCGAGCTTTCGCTGGAGATCTGCACCTCGTGTATTTTCTGGATCTGCCGGGAACACGTAATTAGACGATTGTCCATAAATCAGAGAGTGAAAAAAGTTCACGTCACCCCTCAATTTCACTCACCGAAAGGCTGCTCGAAACGACAAGCTAGAAGGAGTGAATGCCCAGTCGGTGATTTGGTACCAACGACTAGGCCTCCCCTCATTTCCAGCTCTGAATCGAGACTCATCCATTGTTCGATCTCACTCTGTGAATGGTAAATTAACCGGTTACGTGGGGTTGAGAGATTTTCGAAAAAAGAGTTGGGCTGAAGGCGCCAGATAATTAAAGCATCATTTCAATTAGTGATTCATTGAAATTTCACTACAATTGCCTTTAACTTTTCATCACACTGTCCGTAAACCGATTTACGGATACTTCGTGTCCGTCCAACGCCGTTTACGGACATTGCGAAGAAAAATTCAGTAGCGAAGCGGTAAACCGGTTCAAGTTAATTTCGACTAATGGTCAGTTTTTAATGAATATGTCGGAACCTAAGGGAGATAGCCATTTTTTTGTAATAACCTTTTTTGTAGAGCGAATTGAGAGCTAATAAAAAGGTCATGATGAAAATTCCCTCATTTTTCTTAGATTCGGAGATATTCCTGGAAAACTCAGCGAAGAGCTAAGTCGACTTGAACCGGTTTACCGCATCGCTACCGAATTATGTTCGGTAAGGTAAGGGACTGTTATTTTACAATATATACCTCATTCGCCTGAGAAAGCTCGGTTAGCGGTATGTACTGGTACCCCAATGCTCGATCCCAAAGCATCCCTTTATTCCAAACTTCTACTACAAGTCCAGTGTTAATGTCGTTCGTTTCACTGAAAGGAATGAGATGAGTCAACTCAAGCTCAACTAATGGCGATTTTCTGAGTCTTGTATTACTAGATAAACTTATGTATATTTGTCTAGTAATACAATTCCCCCCCCCCCCTCCTCAGGGCAAAAAAACATTCATCGAAACATTCCCAAGGAGAAAATCTCCCTTGACGAAAAAAAGGTCATGTGAAATTTCCCGTGAAAATATTAAGGTAAACACATATTTGAACACAGCATCAATTCATCTTTATTCAATGTAACATCCGTTATTTCCTTGAAGTCAACAACTTCTCAACATCATGAATAATTTACGAACGTCTTTTCGTAAAAATGTAAGTCAACTCTTTAAGTAGAAAATCTACAACAGGACAAGATTGTAATTCAGATCCATTTTTCCTTCAAGTCAACGATTTTTAATGTCATCGGTAATATATTAACGCCATTTTCGAACAATTTTTGTCATTAACTTTTTCATTTTTTCCTTCTCAGAGAAAAAAAAACAATTGGCATTTTTTGAAAAAAAATCGAAGCAAAATCCCACATGTGAAAAATTAGTAAAGCAAATGAATTTCAAAGGGAAGACTTCGCCGAGGAAAAAATTTCCGGGAATCTTCCGATGGCCGACAATTTTTGTCATTAACTTTTCATTTTTTTCCCTCTCAGAGAAAAAAAAACAATTGGCATTTTTTGAAAAAAAATCGAAGCAAAATCCCACATGTGAAAAATTAGTATGGAAAATTAATTTCAAAGGGAAGACTTCGCCGAGGAAAAAATTTCCGGGAATCTTCCAATGGCCGACAATTTTTGTCATTAACTTTTCATTTTTTTCCCTCTCAGAGGAAAAAAAAACAATTAACATTTTTTGAAAAAAGAATCGAAGCAAAATCCCACATGTGAAAAATTAATTTCAAAGGGAAGACTTCGCCGAGGAAAAAAATTCTGGGAATCTTTCAATGGGGAAAAACCTCTGGAGAAAATCAGTGAGGGTGAAAAATTTCTGGGAATTTTTCACTGGGGGAAAAAAACTCCGGCCACCAGCCGAGCAAACCTATCGGTTTGAACATTTCAAATAAAAAAAATAAGACGATAAAAGTCAAATAGAGAAAATACTTACAATAGGAAATCTTGTTCCCAGCATGGAAGAGCCCCTTTAACCGTGATTGTTGTTGTTTTAACATTCTGCAACTTCAACGTCACATAGCTGTTGAATTGTTGTGCTAAAAAAGTGAGAAAAGAGTGTCTCATTATCCGGGACGCGAGGAGATTTCGTGTCGAAAAAATTTATCTCACATTACCTTGTACTCCAACAAATCTGGCTTTCTTGACTGAAACACAAAAAGCAAACGACGAATTAGGTCAAAGGCTTTATTATGTGTACCTCGGGGAATCCGCAAGAATTTCAAGGGAATTATGACGACAATTTTTTTCCCCAGATTAAAATGACAATTAGAAAATAAACCGAGTACAAAAGGGTTTTCATGGACCTGTCGAGCTCTCGCTCCCTTTGTCATAAAAAAAATATATACACGACTGCGCGAGGCCTTGTACACAGGTACCGCGTCATTTGATCATTGAATAGTCCTCCGGTTCTCTGTGCTATCCACAAATCCGAGAATAAACACATTGAAAACAAATAAATGTCTCCCAGTTCACTTTCCCATTTCGAACTTCGTGAAATTGAATAAATCCTCTCGGACACTTGCGATCGTCGGGGCCCAAGATTTATTGCGAACTCCAAGAAAATGTAAACCAGAGTAAGAGAAATAAAAGAATGATGGGGGAAAGCGATGGGAATGGAAATTTTCCTTGCTCAACACTGGAAAATATTTATCAATTAAAAATCCTCGTGGCAATGCCCAAAATTCGAACGTGAGAGAATCAAATTGTTAGACAGACTGAAAAAATCTAGTTGCTCTCCTCCCTGTACCACAAAAAAATTTTTAGATGGAGATAATCAAAAATATCGAAGAAATCTGTAAATACCTAAAAGAATGTGAAGGGAGGGTGGGGTAAAATGGACACTAGACTTTTTTAAAATTACTCATAACTCGGAAACAAATTGATCAATTGAGCTCAGTTGAGGCGCATCACAAAGGGCAAGAATTGTTCTTTGCATCGAAAAAAGAAATTATTAAATTTCATCACCATTTCAACCTGTTATTAACATTTTTAAAAAAGTCAAAAGTGTCCACTTTACCCCAACCTCCCCTATCCTTTCTGACGACAGTGTAAATACCTCGGCAGAGCGCCATCACTAGGGGAGGATGGGGTAAAACGGACACTTTAGACTTTTTCAAAATTATTCATAACTCAGAAACAAATTGATCAATTGAGCTCAGTTTAGACTCGTCACAAAGGGAAAGAATTATTCTTCGTATTAGAATAAAAATTATCAAATTTTATCAAAATTTCAACCCCTCATTAACATTTAAAAAAACGTCGAAAGTGTCCGTTTTACCCCAACCTCCCCTATAAATAATAAATGAATTAGAATTAGAATTAGAATTCTAATTCTAATAAATGAAAAACAGAAAAAAATTAAAAATCCAAAAAATCAAACTTTCGAATTGAATAAAGATCTTTCATTGACGGATGGAACAAGTGTTTCTCGTGAATATCGCCTGGAAAAATGAATTGAAACTCACCAGTTACGTTTAGAAGGGACATGATCAGAAATTCTTCACTGAATCAAGTCAAATAGTGGAGAAACCCGGGGCATCAGAGGTTCACAAGTTCCCTATGAAACTCACGAGATTGATCCTCATCACGCTGTTGACCCCTTTATGTCTTGTATCACGCCATGCCAATAATGGAGTCGAACACAAAATAAATCTTAATCACGCAGGATAATGGGCTTTACACTTCAGTACGCAACTTAAATATTCATCAACAATCATGAATTGACCACCACTTGTTTTTCATTTCCACATTTTCGGGGTGAGAAAGGACAAAGTTCAACGGCAGTCCTATATTCATACATCGATTTGTGTATAAGAGTAGATACAGTCAAGTTAGGAAAAGGGGGCTGCTGCACTTTCCACAACCCCCGCTGCGAGTGTATTTTTATATTTTTTGTCCATTCTCTACTACTTGTTCATTTCTGAATCATGCATTCGCATTACAGACACTATTGTTTCACCGAGTGCTCCATTCCCTTTTGTGCAATAATATCCAAGTCGACACAATGAGAAGTTGAGAAATAAAAGATTCCGGAAGTCAAAAGCTCACACACACGCCGCACTCAATAGTCCGCAATCGATGTTACCAATGTGACTCACAGGCGAGATAAAAACCAATTCAACACTTAAAATCTATTTCAGCAGTTGAATTCAACTTTTCTCATTGACTGGAAGATAAATAAAATAAAAGGGATGAATTTGGAGGGGATTTCGTGTTCCCTGTCGTCTCGTGCCCATAATGAGGCCAATAAAATCCATTCACTTTGCTCCACGAGTCGTGACGATTCATTATTTTCATTGAATTTCATTTCTCCACGAGCTTTTCGTCGACCTCACCGTTGATATTCACTACCTTATCACTATGTATTCCAATGGTCTAGGCAATCTGAATAAATCACGTACAAGCGGCATGTCGTTATGACGATATACTTTTATAATCAACATATTAATACTATTCAATGTGTCTATCATTGGCCGGACTCATCAAGGCTCTTGTGTTGTTCCATACTAGCAATCACCCATCAGTTTTTGATAATTGTCCCACTGAATTTTTCTTCACATTCTAGTCGGCACGTGATGCAACTCCACTTAAAGTCACCAATCGCACAATTAAGCAGGAAATTCACTGGTGAAAACCATGTTCTCTGTTTTGGTCGTTCGTTAAAATCGGCTGGATCGTGTACCATTTGTTCGTGAAATAATTCACGTAATGGGGAAATGCCAGTTTTTAAAAAATAATTTAATAATTTTCTGGACACTCGGGGGTGTTATTCGCGTAGAGAAGCTTTCCTACGTACTCTCCTATTGTATGAATTCTGATGTCATGGGAGAGCTTTCGACACAGTCAAAGCCATCTTGCCTACGTCAATGTTGGAGAGAGCATCAGGGCGCCGGCGCTTGAAGCCGGGTAACAAGCACGGTAACCAGTGAGGGTGGGTCGGGAGGAGTAGTTGCACTCGCATGAGTTCATCCGGACTATACCTATGACGTATACGTGGCAAGGGGTGAATGCCTACCTCTTGACAGTATTTTCAGGACTCTCATTTTTAGAACGCCTTGTTCGCCCTGTTCTGATTCAATTTTTATCCCGACGATTGCTTCATGAGGAAAATATTCATTTCAATAAGTGTCTGCGTGGAATAATAATGATAAAATGTTATAGTTATAAAACTGAAAAATCAATTATTTGAAATAGTAATAATTCTTTTCAGTAAAATATAATGATAGTTTTTAATAATATTTGCCGGTAGAAGGACGGCGGCGATATACAGTAGTGTATATATACACCTGTAATAATAAGAATAATAATGATAATAATAATAGTAAAATGTTATAGTTATAAAACTGAAAAATCAATTATTTGAAATAATAAGAATTCTTTTCAGGAAAATATAATGATAGTTTTTAATAATATTTGCCGTTAGAAGGACGGTGGCGATATACAGTAGTGTATATATACACCTGTAATAATAAGAATAATAATGATAATAATAATAGTAAAATGTTATAGTTATAAAACTGAAAAATCAATTATTTGAAATAGTAATAATTCTTTTCAGTAAAATATAATGATAGTTTTTAATAATATTTGCCGGTAGAAGGACGGCGGCGATATACAGTAGTGTATATATACACCTGTAATAATAAGAATAATAATGATAATAATAATAATAAAATGTTGTAGTTATAAAACTGAAAAATCAATTATTTGAAATAATAATAATTCTTTTCAGTAAAATATAATGAGTTTTTTTAAAATAATATTTAGGGTAGGGCAAAATGGGATACCATCATTTTGCACATTTTAGGGGGATCAATTCAGTAGCGAAGCGGAAACCGGTATAAGTCGATTTTGACTATTGCCCAGTTTTCAATGAATATCTCAAAATCTAAGGGAAGTAGCAAAATTTTTGTCATAACCTTTTTTGTAGAGCAAATTGAGAGCTACAAAAAAGGAAATTACAATAATTTCGCTATTTCCCTCAGATTCCGAGATATTTATCGAAAACTGGTCAACAGTCAAAATCGACTTATACCGGTTTAGGGGAGGTTGGGGTAAAACGGACACTTTTGACTTGTTTTTANTATTTCCCTCAGATTCGGAGATATTTATCGAAAACTGGTCAACAGTCAAAATCGACTTATACCGGTTTAGGGGAGGTTGGGGTAAAACGGACACTTTTGACTTGTTTTTAAATGTTAATGAGGGATTGAAATGTTGATAAAATTTAATAATTTTTTTTTCAATACAAAGAACAATTCTTTCCCCTTGTGACGAGCCTAAACTGAGCTCAATTGATCAATTTATCTCTGAGTTATGAATAATTTTAAAAAAAGTTTAGTGTCCATTTTACCCCACCCTCCCCTACCACTTCGCCACTGATAAGACAAGACTAAAAATAGGTCAGGGCACGAGCAATAATTTCAAAGTTGTTTTCCGACAGATAGAATTCAATATCGAACCCCTTGAATTTTTTTATTGACCCGTGATTCCATTTTATGATTATTGACCCCAAGCTACCGATTGAGAGCCCTGCTGAAAATCACCTTGATCGCTCAATGTGAATCGGCCCGACGTAAATGTCAGTCTCTCTTTTCTCCCCCTCGCACTCTCCATAATTTTTACTCCTCCAAGCAATAGTTGCGTCAACTAACCTGTTCACCTGCTTAATTCAACAACGATGTTTATGAATATACGCAGATTTGACATTTTTATTCTCAATTGAAAGATAATAACAGAGTACAGTTTGCTCTCGGTATGATAAATACGTAATGAGCCCTGGCATATTGCAGTCGTGATTGTCGGTGGTAATGCAGCGTAGAACGGTTATTTGAAATATTGTACCATATTTTATATATTAATGTAATTTATTTATTCGTTTTATTGTGGAAGTACTCAGTCACCAATCTTCCCTGTTTAATTATTGTGATTACTGTGTCAATGAAACAATGACAAGTAGCCAAAGTGGACACGATTATTCTCTGACGATAAGACAAGAGATTCAAAGATTCGAGAGTGTGCATCCTTCGATATACGCTATTTACGATCTGATTGATCTCATAAGTGACACCCATATTTCTAAACAAATAAGGGAACATGTTGTGGCCATTGAAGGTAATTTAATGCATTTTTTAAATCTCATTCTCATGCATCAAAACGTGACTTACATTTATTGAATTTATTTACATGGATTACATTTATTGTCATGTTCAAAAACATAGAGGATCGTAATTTAACAGTTGTCATATTTTGATACAATCGCTAAGTACTTTGTTTATAAGATATTCATTGTTTCTATGAAGACATGGCATCAATGTTTGCAGAATTTTTTTCATGACAAAGACTGTCCCATTTTGCCCTTCAATTGTTTCTCAAATTTTGCCCTCCCCTCCCCCATTATTAACAATCAGGACTAGGTCAAAGCCTATTTTCGATGATGATTCATTGTCATTGACGTTGCACACCGATAATTATGCCGACGAAATCAGAATAAAAGAGGAGTGGAGCTAACGTCACTCTCACCTCACATCGAATTATCATTTCCTTCAGATTCGTTTGTGAACAGTCACGAATGGACGCTCTCGCGGAACGTCCCCGAGCTGCACCTGGGGATAATCGGTTCCTGCGACTCCGGTAAATCGGCATTGGTCCACAGATACCTGACCGGTTCGTTCATGCACGAGGAGTCCCCAGAGGGTGGTCGTTTCAAGAAGGAAGTATTTATAAACGACCAGAGTCACCTTCTGCTGATTCGCGACGAGGGCGGCACCCCGGAGGCTCAATTCGCCGCATGGATCGACGCAATTCTCCTCGTCTTCTCCCTCGAGAGTGAGGAGAGTTTTTCAATTCTCTGCAATTACTACAAAAAAATGTGTTCATTCCGAAATATGTCTGATGTTCCAAAAATTCTGGTGGGCGTTCAGGACTCGATAAACGACGCGAATCCACGAGTTATAAAGGACGTTCGCCCCAGGAAGCTCTCCTCGGAGCTGCGGTGCTCCTACTACGAAACCTGTGCCATTTACGGTCTCAACGTTGAGCGTGTTTTTCAAGACGTCTGCCAAAAAATCATCCAAAAATCAGGGCCAAATAAAAATTCACCCCAATTGGCCCCATCACGCTGCAATGGCCAGAACTCTACAGATATCGAACCTAAATACTCAATGCCTGTGATTAAAACTTCACTGACGCATGCCAAAGAGGATGCCTGCAGTCCCTCCAAGCTCACCCCGGAAAAAACTGATGATTTTTTGAGACCAACGCAGGAAAACATTCCCCAGTGTGATACGATGACGAGCGATAGTTTTCACGACTTCAGAAGTTCGATTTTAACCCCAACGACAATCAGAAAATTCAGGCGAAAATCCAATATTTTTACACCGTCGAAAAAGGAGAAATATAATATGGGGGAGATGGGAGTGGGAAGGGAGATACCTGTCAAGCAGGGCTATCTCTTCAAGAGGAGCAGTAAATCCCTGAAAGAGAGGAAGAAGAAGTACGTGACTCTGTTGGAGGATGGAAGATTGACTTACCACAGCAGTTTGCACGATTACATGAATGACACCAATGGCAAAGAGATTCTCCTGCAGTATGTGACGGTTAAAGTTCCTGGAAAGACGCCCAAGGGCTCCAAGACTGTCGCGACAATCGACGATTGCTTCGAGTTCTCAATAATCTCACTGGAGAACAAGAGTTGGAACTTTGAGGCCAGCAATGCCGATGACAGGGACCTGTGGATCGCTGCCATTGAGCAACAGATTCTGTCGAGCCTCCAGAATTCAGACGGGGATAAGAAGAATGAGACTGACGCCTTCAAGATGATTTGTATAAAGAATAAAGTCTCGGGGAATGATGCCTGCGCTGACTGCGGGGCCTCCAATCCTGACTGGGCGAGCTTGAATCTTGGGGTTCTTGTTTGCATCGAGTGCTCGGGGGTTCACAGAAATTTGGGCTCACATATTTCCAAGATCAGGTCGTTGAATCTCGACGATTGGTCCGCTGGGCAGCTCAGTGTTATGCTGGCACTGGGCAATGATATTGCCAATGGAGTGTGGGAGTACTGCCTCGGTGGCAAGGTCAAACCAGCTCCGGACTCCAGCAGAGAGGCCAAGGAGCAGTGGATCAGGTGGAAGTATGAGGAGAAGAAATTTTTGCCACCTGCCAATCCCAATATATCACTGGGAAAACTTCTTATTGATTCAGTCTGCAGGTGAGAGTCCAGTTTTGAGGAGGCGTGAAGGTCTCTCTATATTAAATGTCTTACGTTTTATTTTATCATTCCAGGGGTGATATGAGAGCATTCACACTTTGTCTGGCGCGATGCACGTACGAGGATGTCAATATTTCTGTGAGTGCTGAGGACTTGAGGACTCCTCTGCACCTCGCCTGTGCCACTGGCAATTTGGCCATGGCTCAATTGCTCATTTGGGTGAGGAAAGAGTAATAAAAATCGTCAATTAGTCCAAAAATAGTTGATTATTTTCATTTCTCCCCTTTTCAGCATAAAGCCAATCCTCAAAATCTTGATCACGAAGGCCGTACCTGTATGTCATACGTTCGAGCACTGGAAAGAACTCTGGACAACACAACAGACTCGATGGAGATGCAAAAGTTGCTGGAGGTTCTTGAGCAGGCCAGCATCTCGAGCATGGACGACACGGAAACAATTCAGTATTAAGTATTTCTTTTCACTAAATAATTAACAGGGAAAATGAAGAATTGGTACTTACGTAAGGAATAACTCCACCGAATTTTTTAATTGTTTTGATTTTTCCACGTTTTTTTTTTGTGTTTCATGGAAGATGAAGGAGAAGATGGAATTTTATTATTTATATGTACTGCTTGGCTGTTCTGACTCACCTCTGATGCCTCATCAGATCTGATTTTATTGTTTTAATGTATTAATTTTTCCCGTTGTATTTAAACAAATTATTATTTTTTATGAATTTTCACTCTATGTATATGTGTAGAAATGTATCAATCGTATCTTTGAGCATGTTTAAGGTGGAACTATGGTGGAATTTTCCATTTTTTGCATGTTTAAAAATTGCTCCCATCGAATTCACCTACGATACATCGTTAAATCTCATTCCGATACGATTTAGAATTGAATAATCAACGAAAGTTATCGATAACTCTCGAAAGTAGAAGTAGATGCATCAGATTTGGTTCTTGCTCAAATTTTCATCTCTTTCTCTCTGACTTGAAAAAAAAAAATGCATAATATTTACCAACTAGATGAAATTTATTGGATAAAAAAGTATGATGTAGATTTTAAAAATACCCAAAGCTGATGAATCTACAACGTAACAAAGAACACATCACAAATCGAAAGTGAAAATATAATAATTTATCAATTTATTCGAGTGTAGTTTTCGTCAATGACTGATCAGTACAAAACACTCATGAAAGAAATTCTAGTTATATTTATACATACATTAAATGTATCGAGAAAAATGTGCTTATACAATTCTCATGTTGATTAAATATATTGTCATATATAATTATTCTAAAATAGTCGAATTCTTTTCCTCCTCCAGATCTGTGCATTCGTTAACAATTGAACCGCACAAGGTGAAAATTTTAACCAATTGGGTTCATTTTTTTATTTTGGGAAAATAAAAAAATATGGAGAACAGGAAAGTCGATCATTTGAAATGATGATAATTGTTTTCAGTAAAACGTGAAAAAATCCTGTTCTGTCTCCAGTTTCTCATGACTGATGAATGCAAAGTCATTTGATGACAGCCCGTGCCATTTCTCGATCAGCCTGGCCATCATTTTTGCAGAAAGGATAGGTTCCAGAAGTTTCCATAGCGAAATTACCGAGTGCCGGAAAGTGATGGGTAGTGAGTCCCATTGGGGTGCAATTGTCGACGTCACATTCGTCATCAATGATAAAATTCTCGTATCTCAAAGTGGCCTGAGTTGCGTTGTACCTGTATCCCCACATGTTGCATGGCTCCTTTATGGCTGCGGCCATGTACCTGGGGGCCCTCGTGTGACTGCAACTCGCTAAATTATACAGGACTGCTATAGTTATTTTGGGAATCTCCGCGAGCCTTTTGTACGGGAAATTTTCACCGTCGAGTACACAATTCGGCTGGAATTTTCCTCCGTTCACGAAGAAGTCGACATTGCCCACCCCCGAGGTGTAGCCGAGGCCGAGGAGCGGTAGAAATGGACGTCCGTCTGTGTGGATGACGTCGACAAACTGCGCGTCAGAACCATTGAGACGAATCAGAGGGTTCTTACCCTCGAACCCCGGCTGTGCTGGATCCAAAGCTGTTATTCGACGAATTCCTGAAATGCTCTTGCCCACGTACCCCATGATGTGGGCCCCCAAGCTGTGACCGAGAAGGTGGACATTCGAGGGGGTGAGGGACGTGCTATTCGTCAAATATCGGATCAATCTAAAATTTTTTATGTTACAGAGATGTTACTTTTTAACGAATCTAGGAATCTTTTCCCCGAGACCGAAGTTCCCGGACAAAATTTCTTAGAAAAAAATTCCCCCTGACAAAATTTCCCCGGACAAAATTTTCCCGAAAAAAAATTCCCCAGACAAAATTCGAGATACAGAATTTCTTTTGAAAATGTTTTGAAAATGTTTATTGGTTTCACGCATGTTATTGAGTGTGAATTCAAAAAGGAAATTGTCTCCTGGGAAATTTTTTTCGGGGAAAATATCTCCTGACACCCTTTTTAACTGATGATTTTTCGTTTTACCTCGCAATTTCTGCAGCCACCATTCGCGTATTCGCTGCTGCCGTGAAGTACATTCCGGAAGAGCCTTTTTCCCAGTCGACAGCGAAAACATTGCAGTCTCTCTTCGAGAATAATTACGAGGCATTAATTATTTCATCAGTTGGGATTTCAAGCAATTTGGACACTTGGCCAGTTTTCAATAGATATCTCGGAATCTAAGGGAGATGGCAAAATTTTTATTAACATCTTTTTTGTAGAGCTGATTTAGAGCTACAAAAAATGAAGTTACGAAATTTTCGTTATCTCCGCTAGATTCGGAGATATTCCTCTAAATCTTGGCTGATGCCTGAATCCACTTGAACAGTTTTACCGCTTCACTACTGAATTGTAAAACTCACGGCTGTTATTAATGCATCGCTCAAATTTCTGAACCACTCGGGTCTAGTACTACTAGAATATCCGTGGGTAATGAAATACGTGGCCTTTGTCCCGTTGAAGCCATTCGGTATTACAATCTCGGGATCTTTTGTGACGACTGTTCTATTCACAATTCTGAAAGAATTTCTAAATGAAAAAGTAAAAAGTCCGCAATTACGAGTGACTGCTCACCGATTCGAAAAGAAAAATGTTGTGTTCACTTCCTGCGGGCTTTGGGGCTCTGGGAATGGTCTCAAAAATGCTGTCCACGGATAGTCATTTGGAAAACAGCCTAAATCGCCGTAACAAGTTGGATCTGCCCGGACTATTCACGAAGAAACAAATTCAGTATCGAAGCGGTTTTCAATGAATATCTCGGAATCTGAGGGAGATAGCTCAATTTTTATCAGGACCTTTTTTGTAGCCCTCAATTCGCTCTACAAAAAAGGTCATTACGAAAATTTCGCTATCTCCCTCAGATTCGGAGATAAACCGCTTTACCGCTTCGTTACTGAATTTGAATTTTTTTTTTTTAGTTTTTTAAAATTTTTGATATCTCGGAATCTGAGGCAGATAGCTCAATTTTTGTCAGGACCTTTTTTGTAGCCCTCAATTCGCTCTACAAAAAAGGTCATTACGAAAATTGAGCTATCTCCCTCAGATTCGGAGATAAACCGCTTTACCGCTTCGCTACTGAATTTGAATTTTTTTTTTAGTTTTTAAAAATTTTTGATATCTCGGAATCTGAGGCAGATAGCTCAATTTTTGTCAGGACCTTTTTTGTAGCCCTCAATTCGCTCTACAAAAAAGGTCATTACGAAAATTGAGCTATCTCCCTCAGATTCGGAGATAAACCGCTTTACCGCTTCGCTACTGAATTTGAATTTTTTTTTTAGTTTTTAAAAATTTTTGATATCTCGGAATCTGAGGCAGATAGCTCAATTTTTGTCAGGACCTTTTTTGTAGCCCTCAATTCGCTCTACAAAAAAGGTCATTACGAAAATTGAGCTATCTCCCTCAGATTCGGAGATAAACCGCTTTACCGCTTCGCTACTGAATTTGAATTTTTTTTTTAGTTTTTAAAAATTTTTGATATCTCGGAATCTGAGGCAGATAGCTCAATTTTTGTCAGGACCTTTTTTGTAGCCCTCAATTCGCTCTACAAAAAAGGTCATTACGAAAATTTCGCTATCTCCCTCAGATTCGGAGATAAACCGCTTTACCGCTTCGCTACTGAATTTGAATTTTTTTTTTATTTTTTAAAATTTTTTGATATCTCGGAATCTGAGGGAGATAGCTCAATTTTTGTCAGGACCTTTTTTGTAGCCCTCAATTCGCTCTACAAAAAAGGTCATTACGAAAATTTCGCTATCTCCCTCAGATTCGGAGATAAACCGCTTTACCGCTTCGCTACTGAATTTGAATTTTTTTTTTTTTTTTTAAAATTTTTGATATCTCGGAATCTGAGGGAGATAGCTCAATTTTTGTCAGGACCTTTTTTGTAGCCCTCAATTCGCTCTACAAGAAAGGTCATTACGAAAATTTCGCTATCTCCCTCAGATTCGGAGATAAACCGCTTTACCGCTTCGCTACTGAATTTGAATTTTTTTTTTATTTTTTTAAAATTTTTGATATCTCGGAATCTGAGGGAGATAGCTCAATTTTTGTCAGGACCTTTTTTGTAGCCCTCAATTCGCTCTACAAGAAAGGTCATTACGAAAATTTCGCTATCTCCCTCAGATTCGGAGATAAACCGCTTTACCGCTTCGGTACTGAATTTTATTAATGACAATTATCAAACTTCCTGAAGAATTACGTATGAAACGTATGAACTCACGCCTAGGAATTCCCAAAATGCACAGAATTGAGCCCACCAACTTGAGCATTGCTTGACCCTTCCCTGAACTTGATTGATCGCAAAGTCTCGCAACCACAAGCACTCGCTGGCTTTTTATAGCGTCAGAATTATCGATACACGATTTTTTAAATGTTTATTCAAGGTCGGGTTTAATCAGGTGGTCTAAATGAATGGACAGACTCGGGTCAACCTACCTCGACATTTGAATTTATTTCCCCTTCATGCTTCTCATCGACAAAATCGATGGTTCAATTATTCACGAATAATTGAAGAAAGTGACGATTATTTTCTCTCATCTTACATCTGGCGTAAATATCGGACATTCTTACTCTCAAGGAACAATACAAAAGTACAAAAAACGTATAAAACAAGGAATCAGTGGATTTTTTTAGAGTTTACGATAGCTTGAAGCGAATGATGCATCCTGTGGTGACGTGATACATCGGCCCCTCAATGTCTCCCTCGACCTTCTGCACGTCTTCTGGAGAATTCGTTCAAATAATTAATCAACGGGTGATTCAATACACGAAGCAAACAGATAAGAGAATTAAGTGATATTTGAGTGCGATAATTCGATTAGATATTTGAGTAATTTTTTAAATATTTTTTTAATACTGGAGAATTAATCTAGTATTTTTAATACTAGATTAATTTAATTTCATCCATTTTTATTCTGATTATGGGTTTTTCCTTAATTCACTTTCTTGATTTTTCTTCATTTCTTTATGATTTAATTTTAACGAGAATAATTCTCCATAAATTCGATTTCTATCCTTGTCATTTTATAGAATGAACACAATAAATGCCAGAAATTGAGAATTGAAGACTAAAATTTCATCGGATTATTACTATGTAATAATAATAATGTAATTACCTGGTGTGTAGATATTCGGTGGGAATATGGGATTGCGACTGTAGTGAGTAATCGAGTTGTAGCTCTGATGCACGGTATCACTGGTGAGGGTGCACATCCACGAGCTAGGTGGCCTGTGAAATTATTCATCAGAAAAAAGTTCCAGAAAACCTGGACTGACTGGCATCACTCTCACGAGTGAGAAACAATTAGGAAGTTAATTAATCTCTTACGTTGGTCGAAACGTGCATTATACGAATCAATTTGGGGAAATTGCGAAAAACCTTAGCCTGTACACACATGGCTATCCACTCGGCATAGTCATGTTGATTAAATTGTCACGAAGTTGATTAAATTGCCAAAGTGTGACGTTTCGCTAAATTATTTTAGCTCCATCAGACACTGCCATCGACGAAGAGAATCCTAAATAAATTGTACGTACGTTTTCACGACTTCAGAGATGATGTCCTTGGGTGCAGGCACCTCCAGGGAATAAATCCCCTGATTTCTGAGGTCTCCGAACTTCAGGGGAGAGTTTGGGGATCTGTAGACCTTCAGGGCTGCGTCGAATATCGACCGAGAGACGTCCATACGACAGTTCAATTGGTTCTGGATTAATTGGAGAAATTCCAGGGATGTGTGGATCTGAGCGAGAGTCACGAGCTTCTCCCTGGAAATAAGGGGAATGGATGAATGAAAAAAATTTTCACCTCCAAAACGGAGAATTTTTGTAGCTATCAACATTCCTCCTACTCCTCCAGGCCATTTTGTGGTTCTCGGCGATTTTATTCTCCATTTGAATTAAAAACACAAATCTTCGGTATTAAATCATTCTAAGAAATTTCCAAAAACCCCATTTAAATGGCAGAATAACAACAGAATCCAACCGCCATCCCAACCAGTGTTTGAAATATAACAATAACCCCCCCATTTCTTCTCTATTTACAACATTATAAAAGTCATTTTCTAGCGATCTTATCAATTAAATCCCACAAATAAATAGATCAATTAAATTCCACAAGACAAACATAACACAACAGTCCCAGAAATGTTGATAATTATACTGGCGCTTGAAAAAATCATTTTGTTGGAATTTTTGTAGCCACTCACCTGTATTTACTGATATCAAAGGCCCCCTCAGCAACACTCCTCATCATTTTCCTGGCATCATAATTCTCCATTAGACTCCCAGTGGACAATAAATACGTGTAATCCCTCGCGAGCTTTTCCAGTCCCATATCGACCACGAGTTCCATCGAAACACTCCCAGCGAGCTGGGGAAGCTGCTTCTTTGTAGAGTCCAAGCCCCCAACGAGTCTAGCAAACCTCGTGTCGTCCCCAGCATTCAACGAGGGCTTGAAATTATCCATGACAATAGCCTCAAAAACCGTGTGAATGCAGTCAGTCATGGCTGTGTAGCTCCCAGTGCCCTTGATGATTCTCCAAAAAATACTCGCAAATTCCTGATCCTGCCTCCTCTCCAAAGCCCGTGCCACATCAGACAATTTAATCTGGTAATCATCCTCACTGGTGCTCTCAGCAGCCGGAGTATCGTCCATGGTTTCTGCATCATCGAGAGCATCCTCTCCAGTCAAGACTCGATGAAGTTTCTTCATGATTTCAGGTGTCGACTCGACGAAAGCGTTTGCAAAGTCTTTCGGAAAATTCAGTGGTGCCACGCTGTAGCGAGAGGACGAGTGCTTCGTTTGGTACTCGTCCAGAATTTCAATGTACTTGTCCAGGAGTAGAAGCTGATCCCAAAGGGGGGAGAGAGGGCTCTTGGATCCACTGGCTATCGATGCGATGAGGGTGCTGGAGGATTTTCGCAGAGGTGGAAGGAAGCTCAGCTCGTCCCAACTGGCCTCGATCCTCAAGTGCCCTCCAAAGTCCTCTTTCTCCTCCTCCCCCCAGTCCACCATCTCTGGATCAACTCCACAAATCTCGTAGACACTGGTTACCCTCACCTGCGCCTTCTTCCTGCTCCTTGGGTTCATGTCATCGGTGTTGTGCTGGGTCAGGGGTACCTCCAGCTGAACTCTCTCCTGAATGTCAGAGAGTGACGAGACACCGGCCAGACGTGCCCTCAGGGGCATGAAACCCCGGGGGTCAGGGTAACAGCCAACAAGAACGCATTTCTCGTCGTTCTCCTCAGGATCTGCTATGACAAACAGTGGAGTTGTCCACAAGTCGTCGTCACTGAGGGTCTCCCTGGTGCAATTCACCATTTCAGCTGCCATTTTCAGGTCAATTGGGGTGTACCTCTCCTCGTACTTCAGCCAGTTCCTCCTGAGGGACCCACTGGAGACGTTGAAGCTGTCGTCACCGAAGGAATGCTCCAGGGGCGATCCTGTGACGTCCAGTGATTCCGCATTGCCATCCTCATTCTCCCTCTTGGGGCTCACCAACTTGGCCACTTCCTCGGGGGAGATGTAGCAGATGAGGAGAACCTCACAATCCTTTCCGAATTGGGGAAACAGACGATTGATGGACGACAGCCTCACCTTCTCAACTGTCAGTCCAGCTGGGGCTGCAATTCTGCGAGCCACCGCCACTTCGGGAGTCATTTTCATTTTAACAATGTGACTGTTCGTTGGACACACGCCGGTTTGTTATGATTTTTAATCAGAAAGTAGGTTTGTCGATTAATCGAAGGCAACGAATTTTTCATGCCCAAACATCAATGTTTTTCATTCGACCTTTTCAACGGTCGATTAATCGATTTTTTTCTAAACAATGTTTTTGAGCGGACTAACAAAGTTTTTAAACATTTTTTAAAAGTTAAAAGTTTTAAAAGTTAAACATTTTTTTCCCGTGTAATGAAAAATAACAACGATTTTTTTAATAATCGATGTTTTTCTAGAATAATCGATTCACAACATCGATGTTTTAAAAAAATACCGATTGTTCGATAATCGGTGTTTTCCAAAACATCGTGCATCGCTAGAAAACCAGTAAAAAAAAACACATCGTTTTTTTGTCGATAAAAGAGCCTCGAAGGTTCAGATTCGCGGAGGCAGGTGGAGCCACGTCCTCGAGGGCGTTCTCGTCCCTCTCTCCCTCTCGTTCCTCCCTCTCTGTCGCCAGGAATGTGTAATTGATGCCCCCCCGACTCAGTTCACCACCCCAGTATCCTCGTAGAAACCCAAACATTCACGATCACGACTGACAAAAGTAAAAAAAGCGGAGACAAACTCCACGACAAACAAAATCATAGCGAGAGAATCCCTTCAGCTCATTGACACTGACGTCCGCGGCTGGTCCTGGACATTTAACCACACAAGACTAATTTTCTGGGGACGAAATAGAAATAAAAGTGGCGACAGAGAGAGAAGGAGAGAGAGGAGCAAGTTACGCGGCCGCGTTTGCGCCTCGAGTGTTAAATCACCGATAATGTCAATACGTCGAGTCTCAACAATTTGATGAATCAATTAAAATAATTAACCATTAAGTGTTATCAGTGACTGCTGAGGGATAGTAGGAAGGGCTGAGGGTTAGGGGAATGTCGTGAGTGAATTATTTTCCTTGTAGGCCAGTGCGTGACAGTAACGAAAAACAAAGTGCAATCTGATAGGAACAACCGAGCTTCGCTGATTGTGAAAAGCAGTAAAAGTTCTTGTGTGCCAAATAAAAATAAACAAGAGGATCGCGATTACTCCTCGCAGACAAACGTGACCGTTGCAATTATTAACGAGAAGAAGAGCTGAAATTGACTCCAATTAATCCGACGAAATTCAAGGCAAGTGCAATCCAAATAAAAATTCTCAGCAAAAAAGCTCACCCTCGGTAAAATGCCTCAATCTCTCCGATAAAATTGAAAATAAAAAATTGTCGAGCCCAGTCCCCTCCCCCGCCCCGACGAATGTCGATCCCCCCCTCCCCCCGGTTGTCCTCGTATTATGAAAAAAACGAGTAAACACCGTGCGGGTGTGGGTACTATAACATCAGTGTGCCTGTCCGAGGGCAAATCGGACAGAGCGTCCCCCCAGGATCACCTGTCGCCCTACTACATGAAAGAGCAGGACATCCCCGAGTACTTGGAGGGCTGCGGTCTGACGACCTGTTCCTCGGCAAGCGAAATGCCGGAGTCAGTGGTGGAGGTCCTCACCAAGGACCCCCACAAGGAGAAGAAGCTGTCGACAGCGTCGATAGGCCCGTCAGGTGACACAAAAAAAACGGTGACAGTTAAGCATCCAGAGTCCAACAAGCCGAAGCCCACAGCGAAGAAGTGCAAGCCCATTCAGGCGGACCTGGACGTCGCCAAGGAGTTCATCAGGTGTCGGGACGAGTGCGTGACACGACTGGACCTCAGCAAGTCGAGCATCACAAATCTGCCGGGTTCAGTTCGAGAGCTGACGAATTTACAGGAATTCTATCTCTACGGGAATAAATTGGTGACACTCCCAGTGGAGATTGGCTTCCTGACGAACCTGAAGACCCTGGCGCTCAGTGAGAACTCGCTGACGAGCCTGCCGGACTCCCTGGAGAACCTGCGCTCCCTGAAGGTCCTGGACCTGAGGCACAACAAGCTGAACGAGATACCGGAGGTCGTTTACAAGCTCACCGCCCTCACCACCCTGTTCCTGCGGTTCAACCGGGTGAGGTACGTCTGCGACAATATCCGAAATTTGACGAACCTCACGATGCTGAGCCTCAGGGAGAACAAGATCAAGTCCCTCCCCGCGGGGATCGGCAAGCTCGTTAACCTCATAACTTTCGACGTTTCCCACAACCACCTGGAGCACCTCCCCGAGGAGATAGGCAACTGCGTCCAGCTGTCGACGCTGGACCTCCAGCACAACGAGCTGCTGGACATTCCAGAGACAATCGGCAATCTCGTGGCGGTGACGAGGCTGGGGCTCAGGTACAACAGGCTGTCTTGCATTCCCAAGTCATTGGCCAACTGCAAGCTGATGGATGAGTTCAGCGTCGAGGGGAATCAGGTCTCGGTGCTGCCTGAGGGGCTGCTCTCCTCACTCTCAGACCTGACGACTATCACCCTCTCCAGAAACTCATTCTCCGCTTACCCCTCGGGGGGGCCCTCCCAGTTCACCAATGTCGACTCGCTGAATATGGAGCACAATCAGATCGACAAAATCCCCTACGGCATTTTCTCGAGGGCCAAGAACCTCACCAAGCTCAATATGAAGGAGAATCAGCTGACTGCTCTACCCCTCGACATTGGCACCTGGGTTAACATGGTCGAGCTCAACCTCGGGACTAACCAGCTCACAAAAATTCCGGACGACATTCAGTGTCTTCAGAACCTCGAGATTCTCATACTTTCCAACAATCTACTCAAGCGGATACCAGCGAGCATCGGCAGCCTCAGGAAGCTCAGGGTTCTGGATCTCGAGGAGAACAAGATCGAGTCGTTGCCGAATGAAATTGGCTTTCTGAGGGATCTCCAGAAGCTCATTCTCCAGTCAAATCAGGTCACCTCACTGCCACGCGCCATTGGGCATCTGTTGAATCTGACGCATTTGAGTGTCGGTGAGAATAATCTCAATTATCTGCCCGAGGAGATTGGCACACTCGAGAATCTCGACTCACTCTACGTTAATGATAACGCTAATCTGCACAATTTGCCGTTTGAACTGGCACTTTGTACGAATTTGAGTATTATGAGCATTGAGAATTGTCCGCTGTCCAAGATACCTCCGGAAATTGTTGCTGGGGGTCCGTCCTTTGTTATTCAGTTTCTTAAGATGCAGGGGCCCTACAGGTCTATGTAATAAAGGGAGGACTTCGAGGAGAATGGGACACGCGGCTGCAGGTGGATTGCCATGAGGTGTTGCGGGATTGTCACCGAGTTTTGGGGGACGTTCTGCAAGAGGAGGGCGAGGGACAAGGACTCCGTGTCCGTGGTAGAGCTGTGATTCTTCCTCGAAGCCTTTATCACGAGCAGTTTTTTTATTCAATAGAGGGGCAATTTTTTGTTTGTGCTAACTGTGGACGCAGTCGTGGGGTTGTCAGGTGCAGGTGCAGTATGCGTTAATTCTCACGATTTTCAGATTACACTCGATCTCAGGATTCATTAGCCAGAATGTTTTTTTTTCCTGGTGCGATCGGTATTTTGGGCTCTAGGGGAAATTTTTATCGGGTAAATGCTCCTAAAAACAGGAATTCCCAGAAAATTTAGAAAAAAATATCATGTCACTTCGTGAGGTGAAGTCACAGCAATTTTAATGAAATAATTGAGGGGCAGAATGGGACAGTCTTTGTCGAGAAAAAATTTTTTTTGAACATTTGACGAGTTGTTTGTGCATACAACAAATTTTTATCCATCTTGCCCTTCGTCGAATTGCAATTGCAATGATGAGAAACAATTTTCCCAGGGAACAATTTTTCGGGATGACGACAAATTGGTCAAATTAAAATGGAAAGAAAACATCTGGCTTTTAATGAAAAATATAATCAACTTTTTATCGAAGGACTGTGGTTTTAAATAATAAACTCCTCTCATGGTGCCAAGTACGTGTTTCAATGTGAGAAATGATTTTCAATTGATTAAAATCATCGAGCCATCAGCACCGTCCTGCGTGAAACGCAGTTATCTGTAGAAATATTAACTTCACTTATCTCTCATCAATTGGAAGAGATTCGATTAGAATATCAATCATCGAGAATTCTCCAATCCTCGTGGATTCTTTTTGTCATTTTGTTGCACCTCTGGAGCTTTCTATCAATTCTTCACAACTGTACAACAAGATTCTGCCGAAATACAACAATTACGCGTTATTATACGTTTTCGTGTGTTCAAGTGAACTTTTCGTTTATTTGGATAATCGACGCAAATTAATATTCCCTTCATGAGAAACGTAGTCTACATCGTGGCGCAGATCGGAGATGCAAGTAAATTATGTCAATGTTACATCATATTAAGGATTAGAATAATGAATTGATGCACGGAGGCAACTATTGACAGCAATTGAATAGTGAGATTAATTCAAAAAATATCACGGAATTCAAGGGATGAGGGACTCTTTGAATAATTTGATGAGAAAATGGAGAAATAAAAAATACAATTGAAATAACTAAATAACACTAGCCGTTACACTAGCTTCAAGACAAATATTTTGTTATACGATGATGCAAGCCATTTTTCTATATGTACCTGCATTTTAAATAAATCGTTGATCACGCTGAAATAAATGAAAAGGTGAAGAAAAAATCGTAATTAAAATTGTTGACTAAAACGAGCCTTACCTTCTAAAGTTAGGAGATATTGAGATGGAGAAACTTAAAATGGAGGAGAAATATATTATAGATATATATATATAATGAGAGTGAGATATTATGGAAGAGAATGAGACGGGAAAAATGTGTCGAGGTTTAGGGGAGGATAGGGCGGGGAAAGCGGGATAGTCCAATTTTGCACAAAAAATTAGAAATTTCTTAAAAATGTGGGAAAATAATTTATTAAAAACGGATAATGAGTGCACGAAACTCAGTGATCAGGGTTCCACCACTTCTTATTATGGCACAATTCATCATTCCATTTTATTATGACACAATTCATCACAAATCTATTCATCACAGTTATAACATAACATTTTTAAATACATTACCAATTGCCAACACGTTTGGCTCAACATAAAAATAGTATCAAAAACATGTGGAACGATATAAACACACATCTTTCAAGAAATTATTGAATTAAATGAATCAACTGATTCGTCACAAAACACCATAATCAATATATTGATTGCCATTTCGGGCAACTACTCACCATTAGAAATTGAATTTATATGTAGAATTGATTGATTAGAAAAAATATTATTTATATAATGAATAATGCTGTGAGGAGTTTCTCATGTGATGAGCAGCGCTGTGATGAATTTTAGTGATGAAACGTGCCGTAATATCACACAACTAATAAGCAGAGGTGATACCAGTGATCAAGTGATAGACTAAAGGTTTAATGAGCTTTTCCAATCGTTTTTGAGATATGAAATAAATATGAAATCTTAGTATAGAACTTCTTCTAGGAAATTTATGAGAATTTATGGATCAGAATCCGTGTAAAATGGTCGTATCTCCGCTGATCTTCCAGATATTGATAAAAGAACTGTTGAAAACAAAAGCGGTAATATTAATTTTTTTCAGTGGAATTTTAGACCTCTATATACATTAATAACAATTTTCAGTGTTTTTCGAATTTTCAACTATCCCATTTTGCCCCGTGAACCAAATGACGATAATCGATTGCTCTAACATGTGCAAAATCATGGTATCCCATTTTGCCCTACCCTCCCCTAGTGTCTTTCGTCCCCAATTGTGAGGAATTTCTCGAGGAGATAATTCATTATTCCCCTGCTGAATGGATCAGTTAAATGGTTTATTTCAGATGATTTTTCTCGAATTAACATTTTAGCTATTATTTTTGCAGTCTTCGCAGTGCGAATTAATCAGCATTCGATTGAATAAATCAGTAACTAAGGTTCAATTTTAAGGGTTCTGCCTTTTATTCTTCGGATTTTTTCATATTTTTCACACTGTAAATTGACAGAATTGAATTTTTGAATTTGCAATTTAAGGCGGAAGGGGATGGACAAATATTCTTGTCTTTGGTTTTTGATGGATCTTACAAGTGTCTCCTTAATTCTTCAAATGGTACCACAAGTTACATGTTCATGATACCATAGACAGAATAATGCACGATAGATGTTTCCAATTGTGGAAAAATGCAAAAGTCCATTGAGTTGTGCCATTTACATTCGGTTGTTAATTGTTGTCATATTAATTTAACAAAAACTCCAAATGGATGAATATTACAATGATGTTGAAAAATGGTCTTGAATGATCACGTGGTGAAAGCCATGTTTCCTGAATTATAATCCTGTTGATGAGCCCCAACTGGCGACACAACAATGTCTGTATAATTTTAATGGAAATGTAATGTTAATGTAATTCAGTGTATATTGAAAAAAATGAAATCAATATAAATAAGAGATGAATATTACTGTATAAATATTTCTAAATACACAAAATGTAATGAGCAGATGCAGATTTTTGCATTTATTTCATTTCATTTATTTAGTCCAGAGATTTCTCTCGAAATTTTCGCAGATTTTGCTCTTTCTCTTCACCGAAAATGTTGAACTTTTGGGTTTTAGCTCAATTTTTTGACACTCTTCTCTCATTTCTGGAGAATTTTCAAACTCCAGTGGTTGTGGGAGTTCAGGAATTTTCTTCTCATCCTGAAAAGCAACTTTTTTTCTATTCATTGAGAAATTCATCGATTCCTGATTATTATTTTGAGATTCTTGAAGTGGAAATTTCGGTTTTTTATCGTCAAGCACTTTTAACTCTGCGGATTTCTTTTCCGAGTCAAGTGCCTCGATGTTTTCTCGAAGGGTCTTGATTTCCTCGGTGAGAAGGCTGATCTGATAATTCAGGTACTGAATTTTCTCTGGGTCTTCTACTGCTTTCTTGGAGGATATCCTCGAGGGTCTGTCCAGGTAATTATTGATGACACCAGGAACATCGTGATCTGCTGAAAACTTCCAGATGGAGTCGCAAAATGCATCGATCGAGCCCCAGATTTGCTGGTGAATATTTTCCTGATGCAACAAAAAATGCGAAATAATTGAGAAAATTGACACAAATTCGTTATTAATAATTAAATAGAGAGAGTAAATTACCAATTTCTCTTTTTCCTCAACAAAATCTTTCTTTCGTCCCTCTAATCTCTTCTCCATTGCTTCAGAAACTTCTCTAATCAATTCCAACTCCACTGATTTCCCAGCGTAATCACTGGATAATTCATCCAACGATTTATTTCCCTGCTCTTTTATTTTCTGATCATCTGGAGTTGGTCCTTTCTTCGAGGTAGACATTTCACAGCGACAGATCCTCTCAAAACAGGAAAAATGTTGTGGAACGTTCGAATTACTTCTTCTGCAGTTTGAAATATCCCTCTGGAGGGTCGTTTCAGCACTTCCGCCGAATGACAACGTAACCTGAAAGCTGAAAAGACCAGAGGATAACCTCGAAGAGAAGAGATTCAGGAGATGAAGTAATTTCTTCAGAATTTTTCAGTTTTTTCCATTTACTGAGGGTTACAGAGTAATTAAAATATATCATGTCGTTGTTAAAAGTAAGTGTCAATTTACTTCCATCATTCTTCAAAATGGACATTATTGACTTTTTTTCAAATGTTGATAATGAATTGTAGATAAAATGAAATATTTTTTTTAAAGAAAACCATTCTTTCTCTTTCTGACGAGCCTTAACTGAACTCTATTGATAAATCTCTTTCTGAGTGATAAACATTTATTAAAAAGTCAAAAGTGCCCATTTTACCCCACCCCTCGACTATAACATTGCAGTGATGTTTATTAATTCGTGTTTTTCAGACCTTTTCTTTTTTGAGGCAAGCAATACTACCAAAATACCAAGGAAACTCATTACAAATTGCCCAAAGGTTTTTATCAACAGTTCCTGAACCTGTGCAGGAACCTGTAAGTCATCAAATTGCTAGAGTGGGGCAAAATGGGTACTTTAAAATTTTTTGCAAAGAAATGGGATATTTTTTTCGATAAAAAACCATTCAAAAGTTTCCATTTTGCCCCCCCCCCCTTCGTTACCAAATAAACTTATAATTTTTGTTTACTGCTTCGTTTGTTCGTCAGCCCCGACTGGACAAATTATACAAAAAAATTGAAATTGAAGTCCGAGGGAATGACCGTGAAGTCCTCACGAGTTATGGAACGTTCTCGACAGAAGCTGCTAAACATTTGGGAATAACCGTTGGTAGAAAGTGAGTAAGGCCTCGAAATATAATATTGTGCTTTCGAAACGTACTGCAATTACGAACTAGTTGTTTTATAGAAACTATTTTTATTATTTATTATTAATAAACAATAAAATATTAATCATCATTAATATTTTTTATTAATCATCATTTTATTATTTTTTATTTTTTATTATTTTTTTACGAACTAGTTATATTTTTTGTGTTTGGTTACTGCTTCTGACCTGAACATGGCCCAAAAGAATTAAAATAACACCCTTGAACTGTCATTCTTGTGAATTCTTTAATTTCGTTTCGTATTAATTTTCATTCTCTTGCAGCTCCGCACCTAAGAAACACCATTTTGAACGCTGGACAGTCCTCAAATCTGCTTTCGTTCACAAAAAACATCGAGTCCAGTATGAAATGAGGACTTACTACAGATATCTGGACTTCTTCAGGCTGACAGAATCCACTGCAGACACATTTCTCGAGTATTTGCAGAGAAATTTGCCGGAGGGAGTTGCGATGAAAGTAACAAAGGTGAAAAATCTGTTGATAATTTTAAATATTGAAGGGGGAGGGTGGGGAAAATACTCAATTTTTTTATAGAGGAGAATGAAATGCGACGGGGAGAGCAAAATGGGACAAGTCAAGATGGATAAAAATTGGTTGTATGCACAAATAATTAGCCCCTACGGTCTCATACTTCATTTTCCTCTCATACAACATCAAAATAACTCCCTATTATTGTCATCAAATGGCTCGTTTATTTTTATTTCCAGGTGGAGATTCAGAGGTTGCCAGAGACCGTTAGTAAACCCCCCAGTTAATTTTCTAATTTACAAAAAGAAGTACAACCATCATTATTAATTAATAGATACTTTGTAAGAATTAAAAACAATATTCACGAAGAAAATGAGACACTAAGTTTCAATCTTTTGGTTTGATAATGATGATTTCGGACTCTCTCTGGCGTTTCTGCTGACGAGTTCTGGCTGTTGAAACCTCTGGGAAGATTAATTTTCCCATGAAAGGTAGGGGAGGCTGGCTTTTGCTTGCCCTGCGGATGTTGAGGGTGCTCAAAGGAGTATCTTCGATCTTTCGCCGCTTTTCTCGTCCACTGGGATTCGTAATTCCCTTCGAAGGTGGGAAACTCTCGTGCAATCCACTGGCTTCTGCTACATTATTTGTTGATATCATTTTATCAGCAGCTCCCGCCTTTCGATGGGTCCTCACCAATTCTGCTGTTGAGATACAGCTTCGGAGGATGTAATCTTGTCCTAGAATAATTTTTACAGGCTTAAAATCAGGGGAAAATTGGAGAAATAATAGAACAATTTTCGTTAATTTATCGTACATGCGAAGTTTCGCCAAATATTTTCACTTCACATATTCACAAAATTCTCACGTCTCAATCGTGAAGTAAATTCACTTGTTAATTCTTTCCCTTTCTGATGAGTTATGAATATTTTTTAAAAAATTAAAAGTTTTCAATGAATATCTCGGAAACTAAGGGAGATATCAAAATTTTCGACAAAACCTTTTCTGTAGCACTCAACTCGCTCTACAAAAAACGTCATTACGAAAATTTCTCTATCTCCCTCAGATTCGGAGATATTCGTCGAAAACTCAAATCGTTTTACCGCTTCGCTACTGAATTCATTTTTAATCTTACCTGCAAGTGGTAAACTATTCTCCTGGCAATTAACCGAGTAAAAAATCATGAAAACAAATCCCAAATGACTGGCTTTCATCATTGATAACTTGTCCATTTTCTCGTCACATGCGAATGAAAGAAATCAACAAAATAGTTTCGAAAAATCATGAAAAATTGAAAAAACGAGGAGGCGAGTTTTCTTCTTCTCGACTCAAAGAATCGACTATGACTGAATGACTGGAGTCTTTCGGCCCCTCTCGAAGGACTCCCCGATGCTCACAGCAGCGGTCGTAATTCGTCGATCGTTTGTAATTTTTTCTCAACAGTAAAACCCGCAAACGAGAAAATAAAAATAAAATAAATTGAAAAATGAAAAGGGGGAACTTGACTTCTATCGAAGGAATCCGAGTGCTGGAATTGAATTTGTGGCCTTCGTTCCAATGTTTTTGATAATAACGTGAGATGCCAAGGCTGGCATGATGAATGGAGGCGAGAGAAATAAATAATAAATCGGTGAATAGTACTTTCTGTTACAATCCATCCGGCAAAAGGTCTAATAATATATCATAACGGATCTGCAGAGATCCCTGATACATGGACACCTTGGGAACCGGTTTCACGGATTAGCGGTCAAATAAAATTATCCCTTCCTTCGGATCTACTCGAGAGTCACTCATGCCCAAAGGGAAATGGTTACTTCGACTGCAGATGTATTATTCCTTCTTCCACTTCGTCATCGAGTTCGGCATTTAAATGTGGGGAAAAGAGAGGACTTGATTTTTTTTTAACTTCGTGTTTTTTTTTGTCATTCTTGTTTGTTCACAGGGATAGCCATATTCATCAATCCTAATTACCGTTAAATTGTCAAGTTCAATTTTTAACATAAACCTTAAAATTTTAAATATTAAATTAACCATTAATTTGTACATTCACATTTGTTAATATTCTATTAACCAATAATTTAGGCAGGAAGATTGACGATTATTTAGATAATTGAAAATCAAATACACAAAATATCACACTATTTTTGTATTTTGATGAGAATATTTAAATCTTTTTTGTAAATTGGCTGGAATGAGTTCTTTTAAAATGATAAAGACAAACGGTTGGATAAATCATGAGAGGACTTGACACAACAGTTTACTTTGCCCCTCTCGTCCCCGGAATTCGCAGTCCCTCGAGGATGAAAAAAAAAATTAAACAGCAGATATTTTCACGTAGTCAATTTCAAGTGCCGCTGAGTGTTTCGTACCGAGACGCCAGGTCGGTAGCCACTGGTCCTTGGCCTGCCAAAAACGGAGCATAGCCTGCGTGAAAGAAGCAGAAAACCCTGAGCTGTAAATCTCCACGAATACTTCGGTATTTAGATTGAGTTCCAAGATATCGAGGCGAAAAATTCATCACTGACCTTCGCTTCAACGTTCCTCCAAGGTTTTTCGTAATTACCGCTTCTTGTGTTGTCGGGGAATGCCTGCATCCCACCTACGCCTAAGCCGAACGTTAGATAGAACTGGAAGCAAAATAATTTTCGTCTTTACCCTCGCAAAATTCCGTGAATTCGTTACTAAAAAATTTAGTGGCGAACGGCTTAAGTCAATTTAGTCTTGAGTTTTCCTGAAATATTTCCGAATCTAAGGGAGATAGCGGAATTTCTATAATAACCTTTTTTGTAGAGCGAACTGAGTGCTACAAAAAAGGTTATAACAAAAATTTTGCTATCTGCCTCAGACTTCGAGGTATTCATTGAAAACTGGCCAATAGCCAAAATCGGCTTAAACCGTGTGACCGCTTCGCTGCCGAATTATTCTCACGTCTTTAGGGGAATCCGTGTTGTCTTCGCTGTGGGGATGAGGTATCTCGCCTACTCTTTCGTTATCGACTTCGAAAGTGAATCCCCTCTCGGTCCAGATTGTCCTGTAAACGTGAAACTCGTCATTCCAAAATCCGAAATTCTTCAATTTCGTTAGTTTCGCGGGAGCCGCGCCCTTGACTTCGAATTCCAGTAGTCTCGAGCTAAAATCTGCGCGGGAGTCGTCGCTCGTTTGGAAGTTGTCATTGCCTCTGGCCATCCCCAAAGTTATTCTCGCTTTGTGACCGGCGTTCATCCCCTGGATCATCATCTCCGGGATGAGCCAATCGCCCTTGGGGAATTTCGCTCTGACTTCAATTTTTCCGTAACGAAAATTCAAGGTGTTCTTTGTCGTCAGGCGCGCGGAAATTATTGGCGGCAGAATGTTGTAAGATGTCGCATTCCGGTAGCATTCCTGGACAAGTCCGTCACAACTGAAAGATAAAGTGATTAATAAAATCGGTAGCGCAGCGGTAAAACGGTTCAAGTCGACTTGGCTCTCATCCGAATTTTCGATACTTGAACCCTTTTTCCGCTTCGGTATCTAAATGTGCGCAATGAATATTAAATAAATTCAGTAGCGAACTGGTAAAAAGGTACAAGTCAATTTTGACTACTGACTAGTTTTTAATAAATATCTCGGAATCTAAGGGAGATAACAAAATTTTTGTTATCACCTTTTTTGTAGAGCCGATTGAGAGCTACAACAAACGTAATTACGAAAATTTCGCTATCTCCGTTAGATTCGGAAATATTCCTCAAAAACTCAACTGGGAGATGGGCCCACTTGACCGTTTTACCACTTCGCTGCTGAATTAATTAATAAATCATTTGGAATATTACTCCGCTAACTGAAGACTCCCGAAATACACGATATTCTCGCCAAACTCATCCTCCAACAGCGTCGGCACGATTCTCAGCACTCCATTATCAATTTTTATGTTCTTTCCCAGCTTGTGATAGACACAAAATCCATAATCCTGAAAAAATGAAATTACGATCTCGTCAACGTCTCGCAAATGAACGGGACGGAGAAAATTCTCGTGCAAAAATCTTGGAACTCACTGGCTGCTGAGGAATTTTCACTTCTCTACTCCACAGAGACGAGTTCAACAAGTTGAAATTATCCTGTCTCAGGGCGTCGCCGTCCGGGGAATCCCCCGTGACTTTCTCATTGAACTCCTCCTCGAAGATGATATCACCCTGGCATGCCGCATGCTTGCCATTGAACACTGTCACACTCTTCTCGCATCTCTTTCCGCGGATTATCTCGTGTCCATGTTTCAATTCATCCGGAGTTGCGTCATCAGTAATACTGCTATCAACGTTTTGTAATCTTGAATAGTCGACCCCCAATTCATCTGTCACGGCGAAATATCAGATTAATAATACTGTAATACTAAAATTACGCGACCACATCGCAAATTAAAATTATGAAAAATATATTACCCAAAGTTGAAATGGAAAATCCGTGACTTCTATTCAGAAGGAAAATCACCAACGAAAACTCGAAAAATTTAATTAACATGACTAAATTATTATTATTATTATTATTATTATTATTATTATTGTTGTTGTTGTTATTGTTGTCAATTTATCCCGTTAGATGTTAAATGCAACTTTCTCCGTCCACTGCACTCGCTCGACTAATTTCTCACGCCATTTGAATGACGAATTTTCGAAGATCGGGGATTTCCCGCCGGTTCTTGCGTCACAATCATGCGCATCGGCTTCAAAACACTGCTGATACTTCTATTCTCATTATTTACAAGTTGTTTGATCGATGGGAAATAAGTTCTCAAGGAAATAGATCAATATGTTGTCGACTGCATCTAGAACAGTGAAGTTCAAGAGATTATCTCCCATTTTTCAGGGAATTAATTCATTAGAGTGGATAATAAATCGAGGGACGAGTTCACGTGGGGAAATCAGAGGTTATTCCAGTCTTCATCGAAGTAATAATGCCCCGATAAAGAGTATCAGGGGAAATATTAACAGATATCACAGATCTGTTGTTAACGAAAACTCGTTTCAAGTTACTCCAGCAAATACCGTAGAGTCGTGAGTACTGCACCAGTGATTTTGAATTTTCTATTATTTTTCGAGAATTATAAAATATTTTTTAGAAAAAATCAATAGAATTCAATTTTTTATAGAAATTCTCAGCCCAAATTTCACAACTTTTTTTGTCTGATTTTTTTAATGAAATTATTTTAAAGTTATTATTATAATTATTAATTATTATTATTAATTATTGTTATTATTATTAATTATTATTATTTTATTAAGGCGAAGCGAAAAAAATGGAAAATTCATATCGAGCAATTTCTACTGATTTTTAAAATAGTGATAATTTTTTTTCTTCTTATCAACTCATTTTTTCAAGGGAATTAGATAGTGTGCAGTTTGAAAAAATATCAGATGATACCTTGGACTCTTTAGCTGAGTATTTTGACGAGATTGTTGAACGCGCTGAACATCTTCCTGATGCAGACGTCAATTATGGAGTGAGTGATTCGATTAAAGAGGGGAAAATCCTTATTTTCTATTTTCCTCGTTGTCTTATTAATCAATGATAAAATGTTAAAATCAATAAAAATGTTGAAATACTTGATATTGATGCTTCAGGATGGAGTGTTGACGATAAAATTCGGCGACAAAGTGGGGACTTACGTGATTAATCGCCAAACACCGAATAAGCAGATCTGGTTGTCATCGCCAAAGTCAGGACCAAAGCGGTATGATTTCACGAATGGCACATGGATATACAAGCACGATGGAAAATCACTGCATCAGCTTCTTGACGATGAAATATCACTTGTAGCTAACGAAAAGACTGCATTCATTGAAAAATGTGCTTACAGTAGAGAGAACAAGAAATAAATTATTTTGTAGATAAATAAATGGCAGAGCTGGGCTTTATTTTATGAAAATCAAATGGAAATACTGTTCCAAATGGTTCAGTAAGACGAAATACTATTTGAAAATAATCAAATACTGTTTATTTAAATGTCTGTTTGAAATTGAAATAAAATTATTTGATATTTCAATTTCTTTTCACCATAGTCTCTCAACACTCTCTATCTTAGCTAGCTCCATTCTTGCTTGATTTATGTTTAATAAGTCGACTTTGGCGTTTCATGTTTATTTATATTTCTTAATTTTTTCAATAAAATTTTTCTTCATTTTTTTTTTCATTCAAGCTTCCGAGTTTAAATCCCGGTCGGCTAGAATAGTGAGATCTAACCATTTTTAAAGTCTTGATCAGCAGCGCAATATCCTCAACCGATGTAAAATGACAATAAAAATTTTTTTTTCATAATTTCACACCTGTTCAACATTCTTCCGCGGATTAATTTTCCGGGTACCCTAAAACCCTTATCATTCAATTTGATTATCTTTTCGGTAATTAATTATAGATAATCATGGATGAGATTATGGAAGATGGAAACCTGGTGGACAGAGTTAGAATTTTATTGCAGAGGGACATGCAATATTATCAGGTAAATAAATCTTTAATGAAATTGAGATTGACTTGCAGCAATCAGACCGCCGTATGATAAATCGTTGGTTGTTCTAACGAAGGCGAAGCAAACAGTTCTCCGAGAATCACTGTGTGGAAGGGTGAGCGGTGGAAAACTGGATTTTCCACGTCACGCATCATTTGCCGCGATAAAAATCGTTAAATGGTGGGAGGCGGAATTTTTTATTGCATTCAGATATCCCTCGGGACTTTGCGTGTCTACGGAGCCAATGGCGACGAGTGTCGAGGGCGAAGAGGTCATTAAAAAAACACCACCCTCTGAATTTATCCTCCTGGTGGTCGATACGTCGCAATTATTCATCGGTAAACATGAAAATAATTTATCAAAACTTTTATTTTCATTTTCCTCTCGACCAAATCGAAAATGGTTTTCAATAGAAAAAGAATTTCCGACGTGCGTTGATCAAGTTTTAATTAACTAATCAAAATTTAAAAATAGTAAAATAATTGATAATCTAAATTTCCAACTGATGATGAATTAAATATTTAAGAAAGTGGAGCTATAAATTTTCTATCAATTACATAATCCTAAATTCCTTATAAGGGATTTCCGATTATCCCAATAGTCGTCAATCTTCCGAACTAAATTACCGATCAATAAATAATTCAGATTTTAAAGTGATATTAATTAACTGACGACTTAATAATTTAACAGTAATTACAATTAATGGATATGGCTGTCCCCTAAAATACCAATAATTTAAAAAACCATTTGCAGAACATTTACATGCGCTGATTCAAGAATCCCTCGACCACGCTGACCTCGCGGTGCTAACTGCGACTCTCGGTGCAGCTGCGCTCGTGAGAAACTGCCTCTGGTGTTACAATCAACAGTCGAAAGCCAAAATCCCGAAGCAATCAAGTGAAAAGCTCTATGAATTTTACAAATCATACCAGGAAATGGCAGAGGCAGTGGGTGAACGCCTCCTCGATCTTCACTGTCGTTTAATATCTCTCTATATCCTGAATGAAGCCGACTCGCTCAGCTGGCAGAGTGAGAAATACTTCTTCGAGAAAGAGAGATCCTCCTTCATTATTCAGATGTGGTGGCTATATATGCAGGGTAATTACCTTCATTTCGATATCGCCCTGGCGGATCGATTGATAGCTCCGATTCAATAGGCGCTGGACTTGTTCACGCGGTCAACGGCCGATCGATCGTTGGTTGATCACTAGACGATGGTTTTTCGATCGATGGTTAGTTTTTGATGAATATCTCGGAATCTAGGGCAGATAGCGACATTTTCGGCATAACCTTTTTTGTAGAGCGAATTGAGAGCTACAAAAAAGGTCATTACAAGAATTCCGCTATCTCCCTTAGATTCGGAGATATTCCTTAAAAAACTCAACTGAAGTCGATTTTGACTAGTAGTCAGTTTTTAATGGATATCTCGGAATCTAAGGCAGATGGCGAAATTTTCGTTACGACCTTTTTTGTAGAGCGAATTGAGAGCTACAAAAAAGGTCATTACAAGAATTCCGCTATCTCCCTTAGATTCGGAGATATTCCTTAAAAAACTCAACTGAAGTCGATTTTGACTAGTAGTCAGTTTTTAATGGATATCTCGGAATCTAAGGCAGATGGCGAAATTTTCGTTACGACCTTTTTTGTAGAGCGAATTGAGAGCTACAAAAAAGGTCATTACAAGAATTCCGCTATCTCCCTTAGATTCGGAGATATTCCTTAAAAAACTCAACTGAAGTCGATTTTGACTAGTAGTCAGTTTTTAATGGATATCTCGGAATCTAAGGCAGATGGCGAAATTTTCGTTACGACCTTTTTTGTAGAGCGAATTGAGAGCTACAAAAAAGGTCATTACAAGAATTCCGCTATCTCCCTTAGATTCGGAGATATTCCTTAAAAAACTCAACTGAAGTCGATTTTGACTAGTAGTCAGTTTTTAATGGATATCTCGGAATCTAAGGCAGATAGCGAAATTTTCGTTACAACCTTTTTTGTAGAGCGAATTGAGAGCTACAAAAAAGGTTATTACAAGAATTCCGCTATTTCCCTTAGATTCAGAGATATTCCTCTAAAACTGCTAAAAGCTAAGTCCACAAGTCATTTAACAACTTCGCTACTGATTCTCCATTAACTCGAATGCACTATCGTATTTTAAATTATTTATTTCCTCGAAAAACGAGTCATGAGAGTCTAATTGAGCCCATCACAAGCGATTAAAAATGTCTTTTGAACCCAATAGGAACAAAGGCAGACCTCTGGAGCACGGTCTCACCGAAAATGGCACAAAGAATTTTCGCCGGAATGCTCAACGAGTCACTTACGATTATCGTCGCCCGATTTATTCACGTACGTGCATCAGAATCCGAGTTTTTCAGTCGAAAGAAGAAAGTGAATTTTTTAAATTATCATTTGTACGAATTTTAATTCGAAAGGGCCGACCAAGTCTCCAGAGATCCGAGCAATTCTGGGCGGACGCTTTCAACGTTTTGAGTTGCACTTCGTATCTCGCATTGTCAGCGTGCGATGACGGGGACGAACTCATCGCCACACGTACTAATAAATTATCAATCGTGATGAGAGATATACACGCCAAATGCGGGGAACTTCTCGTTTGTCTTCTTCTACGGGGGACGCCACTTAAGCTACTTTATCAAGCACGTGAATCTCTCGATTCTTCTGATTATTTTCCTGCGATTATCCACAGTCATACGTTTTTTTAATGAAGCCCTCGTGATGTTCAGATCTGCAGAAATGGATTAGAGAAGATTGCAATGGTGGAGAAGCGCAGCGGACCCTCTCCCTGGTTGCTCATCGCAGCTCCAAAACTCTTCGGAAATTCCACCTTCAAAGACGGAGTTTGTCAATTGTCTGAGGATCAAAAACTCATTCTGCAAGTCAACGTTCTGAGGTCACAGCCCCAGCCCAATTGGACTCAACTCCTCAAAGTAACGAAAACAGAAAGGAAAATAATGGAAAAATTAACTCGAATTTTTTCTTCCCCGAAAAAAATTTCCCGACATTTTCTCCCCCGAATTTTCCTCGTAGTTTTTCCCCCTTCCATTTTCCTCCCATTACCCCAATCAATCATTTCCATAGAGAAAATTATTCAATATTTAATTTCTATTAATAATATTAATATTAATAGTTTATTATAATAATAAACATCACTAAGATCAAACAATCCAGAAAATTATACGACGAACTCGCATTATTTTAACATATTTTCATTTCCCAGTCATTCCCCACTCGCTAGTTATCATTAATTTACGGATTTACAATAAATTTTACAGTTTTACAACAAAGGACATTAGCAATACGTAGAACCTCAGACATAGGAGACGAAATTAAATATTCAATACTTTTTTTTTTGTAAATAAAATTCATGAAGGGACGTGGGAGGAAAATAAAGGGGAAAAATAGTGCTAGCATGAGTTTTAGAGGAAAAAATGGCGGGAAAAAATGTCGGGCCACTCATTAATTCTCCCTCATTCCCAAGGTTTTATCCATGAGAAATTGCACAGTAGCAAGAATGCTATTAACAACATTAATTCGTCAATGCATCGATATGAGGGAAACCGACGACCTAAAGAGGAAAGCCCCGAAGGGCAGTTCATCGGAGTGTGGCGGATTTCTCTGCGCCGGTGACCACAAAAATACCTCGAATTTCCCAGCAACAATGTGCCTGTACAGTCTCATGTACGTGTCAGTTAACACTCCGATGGATCCAATCGATGTAATAATACCCGGCCTGAAGCAGGACGTCAACTGGTCCAATTATCTCGACCGACAACAGGTGATTCGATTATTTTGTAAACGATAGGTATTATGATTTAATCAATTAATTATCGGGCTTCAGGTCTGGAATCAATCGAGACCCCCGTGGCTTAATGCGTTGCTTGCACCGCTCAGGGAAATGATGGAGCCAGTTGTGGAAACTCTTTTGGAGGCTGTCAAGGTTCTCCTGAATTTTTACATTTCTTTATTTATTTTCTTTCTTATTCTGTTTCAGGGCGATTATTCGGCCACATTACTATATTTTTTATGACCCCTGTGAATGCCTTAGAACGTTCCCTAGTGGAAAAACATAAGGTAGAGGCGTAACATGCCTGATCAGAATTTCGGATCGGACTTGATCAGTTTCTGATCGAGACCTGAACAGAATTTCCACTCGGGTATGAGTCAATTTGAGAATGAAATTCGTAAGTGTCCTGGTAGCTCAAATGGTAAGAGCACCCGATGCGCATACCCTGCTGTGCTTTTTTTTTCACATACAGCAAAAATAAAAAAAAAAATTTTTTAAGCACATTATTATGTTTACACATTCATTTATTACTAGCATTGTTAATTGCACTTCAAAAAAAAATGTTATGAAATCAAATTTATAAATATAAAATTAAACCTGAGAGTCACTAATGGACCATAAGTTTACACAATCGTGTGAAAATATTTTGCATAAAAGTTTTTTGATTCTAGTTTTTAAGTTATGTAAATATGTAAATATTGATTGTTAATTAATAAAAACCATGAAAAAAAAAGTAAGAGCACCCGACGCGACATTGGGAGGTCCCGGGTTCGATTCCCGGCTAGGAAGTTACTAATTTTTTCTCTCAAAAAAATTAAATTTAATTAATGCCTAATGACGGTAGGAAAAACAACGTGGAGGCGTAACATGTCTGATCAGAATTTCGGATCGGACTTGATCAGTTTCTGATCAAGACCTGAACAGAATTTCCACTCGGGGTTCGAGGCGCGTTATATGAATTTCGAAATAATAATTCGTTGTGGCTCGCATTTTTCTCCAGACTGGAGCGAGTATCTATCAGGCAATGTCGCTATCCCTCGCCTGCATAACGGAACTCTTCGTGTGTGCCCCGATCGGTATCTTGAGAGCAGGGAATGCCATGAACCAGAGTATTCCAGCGCACTGTCACCCTATAGGAGGCTCTGTGCTGGTACAAATATTCTGCGCTGCATTGTACTCATCCCTCTTTCAAGTCTCTCTCCGGGGCCCCGAACCACCGGACAAAACCGATATTCAGGAGACGCCCCGGAGTGTTTCGGAATCATTCTCGTTTGACCCGTGCGACAGGTGTGCGTCAGCCACTGCTCTGGCTGAGGCACTCTGCAGTATTGATGAGGACAACAAACATACCGATCAGATTCAGGCGCTTTTGGGACTCATTCATAAATGGTATCAATTTATTTCCAATGGGAGTGGAGAATAACCTGATGATGATAATGATCTTCTATTTCTTCTTTATTTCGTTAGGATTGAAAAGGAAGATCCGAGTCCTAGATTGAAAAAATTAGACACTGTATTTTCGTGGAAGGAAACTTATGTCGATCAGTTGTTGTTTACTGAGATCGGACGTCGATCTTTAAAGGTAAATTTCGGGTGAAAATTTTATTTGGGTTTGGACGATTCTAATGACGAATTCGGCAGCTTTACTTCGTGTTTTTTCTTATTGGAAATTACTATTCTGTAGAAAGCAATTGAAATTCATCTTTTTAGACAACTTTTTCTATTCAGAGATCTTCTACAGAAATTCGTGAATATTAATTTATTGATCTCTATTTTTCTTCTTCTATTTTCATTTATAAAAACAACCAGAAAAATTAGAAACTGTTTTTTTAATAGAATTGGTCAAAAAATAATAGAGAGTTCAATAGAATTTTCGAATGAATTCGCTAGATTTTTCTGTTTTTTTCGTATTTTTTCGTATGTAACATTGATGATTCCAACAGGTGGTGCATGAATACCTGTTGAGAGCCTCAGATTGGGTACTAAAAAACTTGAAGGAGGGAAAAGAAGCATTCGACGATTTTACGGACTCGAGTGACGTATTCAATCCTTCCAAACCCCTTACTTACGTCATGTTCCATATCGACGATACAGCGTTCGATCAGGTGCACTGCTATTCATTCATCGAAGCTTCAATTCTTCAATTATTATTAAATAATAATAATTAAAGAACTGTTGGAATCGTTAATTCTTCAATTAATGAATTATCGATAATTTTCTCTTCCAGTTCCTGACGAATTTCAATGAAACCAATTGGAACGCGATCTTGAAAATGCCACTGTCAGTGACACTAGAACGAGTGAGGAGTCAAATTATCATCAGACCCGAGCTGAAAAATCCAGAAAACTTGTCCCACGCGGAAAGGGAAGTGGCGTTGGCTGTTAAAAACCTCTGCATCAGTGCAAAATCACCGAGAGCAGTTGAATAAATCCGCCAATAAATAAATTATGTGAGTGATCTGTGCGCTGGTGGATTTTTTCAAACATTTCTTTAGTACAGAAAGCATTAAATAATGAATTTTTATTGCAGGAATACAATTACTTTTGGCACATTCATTGAGAAAAAAAACCAAGAATAATTCTGTAGATTTTTGACCGAATGGTCTCACTTTATATATAAAATAGAACAGTGTTGATCACGGATACAAGTCAGTGAATTTTTAAAAGATTCTACTCATCATGGATGAAACTCACAGATTTCGACTCGATAAAAATTCAATTGATAGTTGAAGAATATTGATTCTTTAATTCACTAGCGAAGTGGAAAAACGATTTAAGACGATTTAGGTCTGTGCTGAGTTTTCGGGGAATATCTCCGAATCCAAGGGAGATAACGAAATTTTCATAATAACCTTTTTTGCAGCCCTCAATTCGTTCTACAAAAAAGGTCCTGACAAAAATTTTGCTACCCCCCTCATATTCCGAGATATTCATTGAAAACCGGCCAATGCTCAAAATCGACTTAAACCATTCTATCGCTTTTCTACTGAATACATTTCCACTAGATCTCATGTTTATACACAGATATATGTGTTACAGAAAACGGCTCTCGCATTCCAAGATACGAAAATTAATTCAATTTATTTTTCTTTCAGTTTTTTTCTTTTTTTTATTGTTGAAAAAAGCGTGCCACGATACCATTCAAGTGTGATGTTTAATTTTCTTCAGTTCCCGATGAACTTGAGCCCAATCTCGTCATCATTCCATCCTAAGGACATAATAAAAAAATTGTAGCTGTAGGTGTTGATGTCCGTAAAGAATTTTGGTAAAAATAAAAATAAAAATGAAAATATTTCTCCTTTCATCCCTCAGTTTTTATACGACAGATGTCGGTGTCATAATGTCAAAGAGTTTTGTGGAGTGTGCAAAGAAAAGAGGGTGTTGTACATATAATTTTTTTTTTCATTTACCGGTGGCATCGCTGGCCCGGAACGGCCAAAGCGAAGACGCAGCGAGGGTGAGCGCTGAGATTTTCGGATCATGAGGTGTTCGTAGGGTATACCAACGAGATTAGAGCTTCCGATGTTCGATCCAGATGGATAACTGTTGTCCATTGAATTACGACGCAGAAGGAATCTGTAGAATTCACGGAGACCCTCGAGGTCTCGATCTGCATTTTCGTCGGCTTGAAGAATATCAGCTGATTAATTAGTGGGTTTTAAATAATTAATTCAAAGAAAAATTCGACGAATAAAACTAAAAATTCCATAATTTTTTTTTATCGTTATTTTACATCGCTTCGACCCGTTTAGGGTACACTGCGATGATGATCAAAACTTTAAATGGTTAGATCGCACCTTTCTATTTGAACTCGGAACCTTTCACATGCGAGGCAACGAACTTACTCACTGCGCCAAGGCACCGGGGATATTAATTAAAAAAAAAAAAAAAAAAAAAAAAAAAAAAAAAAAAAAAAAAAAAAAAAAAAAAAAAAAAAAAAAAAAAAAAAAAAAAAAAAAAAAAAAAAAAAAAAAAAAAAAAAAAAAAAAAAAAAAAAAAAAAAAAAAAAAAAAAANATAAATAAGATCAAGCAAATAAACAAGATGAAAGAAATTCCATTCCACAGAGACTAAATAAAAATATAAAAACCCTCGGACATCGCGATAAATTGTGAAGCCAAAAGTACAAAAACATCACACGAAGACATTCTGTTTTATCTCACGTGAGCTGAGTTAATTACCTATGTAATCCATATAGTTCTCTGTGCTGACAGCCACTCCGAAGACGAAGAAGAGAGCGATCACCGTGACCCCGTAGTACTTCATCATTACTTTATCTCCGACAGAGAATTCTGAAGAGAGAAAATATTTACCCCTTTACTATTTACAAATTGAAGGTTGAGGACAAAAAAACTTTATTTCCTAGTCAAGAGGGTTTTCCCTCCCATTTTACCAGAGCTTGTTCTCCTCAGCCGTGGGCTTTCCCACATTCTTACGCAGATTTCTTTGAATTCAAGGGAATCGAAGAAATATTTATCAAGAAACTGTTTTCATAAGTTGGATAAACCCATAGAAATACGTTGTAGAAAATTGAATGGAGTGAAAAGCGACAATGAACGCGTCGCCAGTTGCATAAGCTCACACCTTTTATTTCTGTGAATTTGAAGGACCTCACAAATGTTGTATACCCACTATTTTTGCACAAACACTCTGCACTCCAACTCAATCAGAATTATTCGAACTGTCTCAGAGTTAACACCTCATCAGGAAGATATCCAAAGTGCGACAGTCAGTATTCGCATTCAAGTCTAATAAAGATTTCGGTATATTTAAAGTGAACAGTCTCTTTTACCCGTAATCCAACACGAACTCCTGGGCTTTTCCATGAATATTAATACCATTTCTAGAAATTTGATCCCCGAGAAAATGACTGGGTACTTCTTCTCCGTGAGGATCATCTCCGCAGGAGGCAGACAGTCGCGGGAGTATCTCCCGAGAAAGTTCGTGATGGAAACCTCAAGGTTCGATGTCAAAACTTATCTGATTTCGAACAGATGGTGAGGAATGGTCGTGACATCGGAGCTTTCACAGACTACTCGTAAATTATTTCCCGTTAAAATTGTATTGTAAGAAAGTTTATAATTAACTTTCTCATGAGGGATCAATTTTTCTTCCAATATCACTGGTTTCGAGCCGAATATTATAATTCGGCATCATTTTTCACTCGATTATCGTCATTTTGGTTCACGGGGCAAAATGGGACAGTTAAAAATTCGAAAAATACTGAAAAAGGTCCAAAATTCCACTGAAAAAAATTATTAATAAATTAGTAATTATTATTATTTTAAATTATTTTCCCGCATTTCAGTAATGACATCAGAAATCAGTACAAGGGAGGAAAAAGGAACCAAATTACAGGAGTAATGAATATTTTTCTGATTTTAAGAAATTTCTAATTTTTTTGGGCAAAATTGGATTATCCCGTTTTACCCGCCCTATCACATTTTGCTCTACCCTCCCCTATAATTAGAATTCTAGTCCGTTAAGTAGAATAAGCGGAAATCGGTCAGACATGTCGACTTTTCCAAATTTCCGCGCAATGTTTAATAGAGTGAAAAGACGAGTGATTGGAAAAGTCATTCCGTAGCACGAGGGAAACCTTTTTTCCCCGTTTGTTCATTAAAAATTGTTGTTAGGAAGCTAGAGTGGGATTAATGAGGTGAGAGGGGGAAACTAACAAACAAGAATAACGAACAAGTAATTAAGACTGTCAGCCCCTATAGCGCAATGCATCCAGATCCATTTATTCATTTAGACTCTCCTACTGTTTTGACCTTCTGCCTGGCGAGTGGATGAAGGTGCAGTGGCGGACAGCGCTGAATGAAACTAAACAAGTACATCAGGCGCGCTGATGTGTCTATCTGAACTCAGAAATTTCGCCCCGGGGCTTAATGAGAATTTTCATCTTTAAAGGGGAGGCGAATGTATGGAAAAGGTCACATTTGAAGTGAAGGGGAAATTCATGGAGGAAATTATCAGAAGGGCGTTCTCGTCGCAATTACCTGAACCTCATTAATTCACTTATTTGATTTTTTTTTTGGTTTAGAGTATTCAATTTCCATTTTATGCATTAATTTGTTATTTTAATTTTAATTAAGGCCGACATTGTTAATAAATTTCATGTTTCATTCGTTTTTACTGTTCCGAGGTGGCAATACCTTCACTTCATTTTGTTTACCCTATTATCAATAATTCACTTCTTTCTAATTTTTATTCTCTTTTATTATATTAATCGATTCATTAGTCTGCATTCCTAATATTATTTAATGCTTACTTTTACATTACATCTAGTATATCAACATTATGTTTTTAGAATTTAATCTACTGCTAAAAAAATAAAATAATAATTCAGTAGCGAAGCGGAAAACAGTTCAACTCGATTTTGACTATTCTCCAGTTTTCAGTGAATTTCTCGAAATCTAGAGGAGATAGCAAAATTTTTGTAATGACCTTTTTTGTAGCTCTCAGTTCGCTCTACAAAAAAAGTCATTACAAAAATTTCGGTATCTCCCTTAGGTTCGGAGATATTCCTCGAAATTAATCAATTTTTAGCATAATTTTTTTTAAGAAACATTTTGTTTAAATAAAAAATCTCATTTGAAAGGAGAAAAACGAGCGGAAATGAAATTCATTCCTCCATTCTCACCGGAAAATTTCGCCTCTGTATAATTTGAACAGAGGGCACATAGCAATTGAAATTTCCCGGACGGAGAGAAAATTTCTCGAAAGTTGAAAACCGCGGAGAAACTTTTTCCATGCAATTATGGGCTATGCAAACGATTACGCGACTAAAATGGATGCAGCGCAGTTGTTGGTCCAACTGTACCATCTCCTCAATTACCATTTAAATCATGATATGGATGGAAAAAAATACATACACGTCTCCTGAATAATTCAGCGTTTGCTTCTTCCCGATCGCACGACGAGAATATTCCTGAATATCGAGGGAGTTTAATTGGAAATATCGCCATGGTCTATTTAATTACGTCCTCTTTATTCATTACGCCATTATTTACTATTCATTCATCGTGTGAATCGAATGGATTTCAAACACACGCGATTGGAATTTCGGCTCAGTGTGTGATGTCAATATTTGATCAGCAATATTTTTCCAGACCATTTCGATTATATTTGTGAATTGAAAAGGGCATCGTTCATCATATTTATCATTTTAGAGACACTTGATTTTTCCGTGCAATTTACCGAGATGTTTTCTGTGGAAATGTCTCGAGTTAAATTTTCTATTTTTTTGTTTGATTTTTTTAAGAGAAAAAAATAAGAATGGAAAATGTATGAAAAGAAAATTGCATCGAAAGATGAAATTCTATTTATTTGTTGTATAAAATAATTTCTAATGGACGTCTTATATTTAAAAAATCTTTACTTTGTCTCTTCTTTTTATCGAAAAACTAATAAAAAAGCAAATGCTATCTGTCCATTTGCAGCGAGTGGTGATAGAGGTCCGCCTCCACCGGGGTCAAAAATATCTCCTGGGAGAATGAAACCACGGACTGCCCTGATGACCAAAACTTCATTACTCAGACACAGCCGATTGCCAAAGTTACAGCTATCCCTCGAAACTAATACCCGAGCAGCTTGTGCCCAACGTACGCAATTATCATTCCATCCTTCTTCAAAAGTTGTATCATTCCGCAAACAACTTCTTGATTGCTCCTCCATGGATTTCCCTGTGCAGTTTGTCATATATCTGACACCTGCGGCGACCAATAATCCCCACATGAACGCCGTCGACCACTGAGCCCTCACAAATGTGGGGAAAAACGAACAAGTTGGAGTGAGAAATTGCCCGGTCTGAGGATCGAATATTGGACCTCATTCGCCTTAAGTGACTAAAAATATATCTTGAAAGATGGATAAAACTGGTGAAGGGAATAGTTCATTCTTGGATGAAAAATTTGAGAACCGATTTCAAGATATTACCGCAGGGGATCAAAAATGCGTTGAAAATTCTGGAAAAAATCAGGATCCAGCTTTAAATCAACTGATAAAAAACCTTTTCGAATTGAATTTCTCACGTGAATTTTTCCATTTTTAATTGAATTTTTAAAATTTTTTGGTTCAAGTCGATTTTTACCATTTTCCAGTTTTCAATGAATACCTCGGAATCTGAGGGAGATAGCAAAATTCATCACTAAACCTTTTTTGTAGCCCTCAATTCGCTCTACAAAAAAGGTCATTACGAAGATTTCGTTATCTCCCTTAGATTCCGAGATATTTCTCAAAAACTCAGATGAGAGTTGCGGTACAGAAATATCAACCGAAAAAGCTTTTCAATTTCGCAAAAACTAATGAGGCGAAATGTGTTCGGCAGTCTCGTTTGGAAATTTCCCCCGGCTTTTTGATGGAACAACTTTCATCCCCCATTCCTCACGCTGCGGGGTCCCTCGAACAATCGTAAATAAAATCTGTAAAAGTTTTCTTCTCGGGACGAAGTAAAAAGGAGACGAGAGTCACATTTTTTACGATGAATATCTCATGCATCTGTTACACCTGAGGGCGGCAGCAGAAGGGAAACATATTTTATTTACGATCTCTTTCAAAGAAGCCCGAAAGTGTAAAAATGAATTATACATCGTCGGGCGAAAACGATCGCACAAATCCCGCATTATCTGGCCCCTAGATGCCGAATCACGATTATTCTTTTATATTTCCCATTAATGGACGTCGTTGGAGGATTGGCAGCAGTTTAATGGATCGTTTCACACCAATGGCCTTTGCCGGCCCATAAATTCATTATTAGACCGGTATATGACGGTATAAAATCGAAATACGAAAATCACGAGTCATACTTTTCTCAAACTTCAATCTCAGCGAAAAAAATGCAAAAAATTCGACGACAAAACACATGAACAAACGTCGACAGTCGTCTCCGAAAGAGATAGCTCAATAAATCACTCACCGAAATCGCCTGGGAACCGATAAATCCTTGGACACGTGCGAAACTCCGGAAGATCCTCGGCAAATCCTTCCTCCACCCCCAAAAAGTTTCAATTTCAAACTGCCAGCAAAACTCGAATTCCCTTTCAATTGAGATTTTTTTTTCTAATCCCGATAGATTAAGTTATCACGCCGGTGGTAATGAAGGCAAGTGTGGAGAAAGACGTTACGCTTTCTATATATACGATGCCAACCCCAGCGAGGGGCGGCGGGAGGGGGATGAAGACACAGGTGGCCGTCAACGCTCGCTCGAGTGGGGAGGCGAGGAGAGAGAGCGTGGAGGAAGGGATGAAAGAGGGGCGCAAGCGTGTTTTTTCGGTATTACTCTCATTACGCCCCCTCCCCCATTTCCCAAAAAACGACAATTTTTTTCCCCTCATTTTTAGCCTAAATATGTTTCGGTGTGTCACATTTTTTCTCCGCGTAATGTCTTTTCGGCTCTTCCAGTTTACGCTTTTTTCCATTATTATATGAAATTTTAAGCAAAGGCGGACTCTGTGTTAACGAGAAATGCACAAAGTGCGGAGATGACTGCTGCACAATTTTTTGTTCTGCTAAAAGATTACAATTTTTCCCCCCTGAAAATCAAATATTCCCTTGCAGAATACAATGACTTAATAACATATTGTGAATCTTCAATGTATAGGGGAGGATGGGGTAAAATGGACACTTTTGACTTTTTTAAAAATATTCATAACTCAGAAACAGATTCATCAATTGAGCTCAGTCTAAGCTCATCTCAAAGAGGAATCATTCTTCTATTCTATTGTTCTTTCTATTAAAAATAAAATTAAAAAATAAAAATAAAATTATTCCATTTCATGAACAATTCAACACGTCATGAACGTTTATAAAAAAAGTCAAAAGTGTCCATTTTACCCCCCCCCCCTCCCCCCCTCTCCTAATCGTAA